ACACCCCAAATCAGGCCAATGAGATGGCTCAGTAGGTGTTTACCTCCAAACCTGGCTACCTGAATTCAATGCCTGAAACCCACACAGTGGAAGGAGAGAACCAGCTCCTGTAAATTGTCCTTTGGCCTTCATACACGCACCCCTTTCCCCAAATCAATAAAGTGTAATAAAAAAAGAAATACTGAAAGTAAAGGGCCTAGAGGAAGGGACTAACAACACAACAGAGGGACATTTCGGGAGCTCTGGGTCAGCTGCACACAGTAGGGTGTGCACACGATGAGTCTTCAAAGGAGGGCAGCCAAGAACCAGAATGACTTGAAGATAGCCGAGAAGTTTCTCAAATGTCATGGAAACTATATAACCACAGGCTGGAAGTATTTATGAACCTTGGGCAGAAGAACTACTTTAAAATGCCACAATAACACACCCGAGAACCAAACCTCTGGAAAGCAGGGGCAAAAGGGAAATCTTGCAGTCCAAGTGAAGAAGACACATCAGACCCCGTCTAGCCGTACGAGAATGGCAGGAGACATCCTGTTAGGAACTGCGCACATGCAGAGCCAGTGGAACACTTCCTTTGAAACTGGAGCGTCCAACCCACAACTCTACATCCACGCTGCAGACACAGTTTTCAAAATGAAGGTCAATCGATACGTTTCTCAGACACAACAATGAACGCTCATCAAGCGACTACTTCAAGAAATGTTACAGGAAGTCTTGCTGGAATAGTGTGAAATGGGAAGCCACTTCTACATGAGGAATGAAGTCCAGAAATGGCAAACCTGGGTAAACAGAAAAGACCATCTAATTTTTACATCTCTTTACATGACAATGGGCTGTTTACAGCAAAATATTAACAGTGTATTATTTGGGATAATTACCTGTGTGAAGCTGTGGCAACAGCATGAAGCAGCATGGGGAAATAGATGGATACTACTGTAAGGTCCTGACATTGAACTGGAAGGAGTGCAGTGGTATTTGAAGACAGAATGGTGGCCAAAGGGGTCCCATACGCTTCCCCGACATTACAGGCTAAAGCTATTGGTTACTGACCATAATTGCTGGTAAGGTCCTATTGCTGAACACAAAACTTACATCATTGAACATGGGAGAAATCGAGCTGGTGCCCAACTAGGAGCTTCACCCCCACTGACTAGTACTGGAAAGCTACTTTAAATGCTACTGGAGGAGAAAAGTAATTAATTTCACATGTAAATAGTAAATCAGGAAGTTAAGTCAGCCATACCGGTAACCATATCAAATGTAAACAGTACAAATGCTTCAATTAAAAAGGAGAGACTGCCAGACCGGATTGAAAACATCCAACCTCACACCCTTTTGCCCTTACCAGAGAGAGAGTCAAGGCCACAGTTAGCACGGTGCTGTGACAGTTTTGGAAACCAGAACAAGAAGTTGTGCCTGCCCTAGCCGGGCTGCAGCTGTGTGTACTGTCCATCTTTACACCCCTTCTCCTGCGGTCCTGGGCCTTTAGGGGGTTCACATCTTAGTCACAAGACAAGCGTCAGAGCCACATTCAGAGAAGTAAAGAGGCTTGGCAGTGAGGGGCCCGTTCAGGAAAGGCCTCTTAGAGGTACCAGGCAAGTGTGGGAAGGGGAAGAGACACAGAGTTACACTGATGCTCTCAGCTCTGGGTGTGTCTACAAGTAGAGAGGGCAGACAGCAAGGAAGGCCAGGAGCTGGGCATCCAGTGCAGGCACACTTGCAGGGGACAGAGCCTGGACCGTGGTGAGTGCAGATTCTGAGGAGTGGTCGAGGGAGGAAACAGGACTTCAGTTTGGGTCCACTATGAGGGCACATAAGAAGGCAGCTGGACACACAAATCCACGGGCTATTAGTCTGAATCCTCAGTTCAGTGTCCTCATCTGCACTTCTCACTTGCGGACTGGTTCTACTTTCCCAAGTCTAGCCCTCAGTGTATAGGACGTCGGGCTACCAGCTCTGGCCAGCTAGAAAATCCTCTCTGACACACGCAGTGACCCACTGAGACCCAGGCCCAAGTACAAGTAAGCCCAGACAGAAGGAGAAATCCCTGTCCACTCGGCCGGAGCTAAACCAAGGCTCACGAGAGGAATAACAAGGCAAATTTGACAAAGCGGTCCGCAGAGTAAAAACATGAACGAAGCTGCTCTGGGGCCGGGGTCTGAAGGGCAGAGCAAAGCTGCTCTGGGCCGGGGTCTGAAGGGCAGAGCGAAGCTGCTCTGGGGCCGGGGTCTGAAGGGCAGAGCGAAGCTGCTCTGGGGCCGGGGTCTGAAGGGCAGAGCTGGACTGTGCTCTAAGGGCAGGAAGGCCAGCTCATCCGATGGTGTGAAAGCAAGCCTTGCCTCAAGGGCGTGAGCACTGATCTTCTGGTCAGCAAGAGTTCAAGTCAAGCTCACTATTTACAGTCCTTCTTACCTTCGGGCTCCGCTCTCGGACCCTTAAATTCTCGCTGTTTTCTCACTCCAGGCTCTACATTTCATGGACTGGCCCCAAAGACCAGTGTAGTAAGTAGTTTCCTGGGTGCAATGGTCAGGGAAGATCAGGGTGCATGAGCTTTAACATGTCTGGAGGAGCCACTCGGAGGATGGGTGGAGATGGCCTTCCAGAGTGCCACCACCCTGTTGGCCCCTTCACCCAACTCAGGTTGGATACACAACTAGGAGACATCTGATTACACCTCAGCCACTGTACCACTTTAACAGACTCCTGGCCCTTGTAGGCGCCCAGCACCCTGAAGGACATGGCTCACGTGGAACCCCCTTTTCTGATAATAAAGGAAGAGAAGCTGACAGGCAGGCCACACTGCGGCTTCAATCTTTATGAAGAATCTGGCAGTAAAATTTCCAGCCAGCAGGTGGTGGGAAGTACTCCAAACCACCCAGAGCATCTTACCTGTGTTCAAAACCTCAGCAACAACGTGTGCGCTCAGCAATTTCAGGGCCACCTACTATGGCACAAGGAGGAAGCAGGATGTAAGGGCCTTTCTAGATAGGGGCCACCCTCAAGGTAGAGCTGTCATGCTGTGAACATGTCTGCGCTTCTCTAAGGAAGATTCAAGAAGTGCCAGTCTCATGCAGAGCACTTCTGATTTCCTCCACTGGGGTGTGGGGAACACAGAAAAACAGGGCATGCATCCTTTCACCTATTCCTTCAAGAAGTCTTCTCTCAACCAAGCTGTGAGGGCATGGAGAGATGCTGATGCCATACCTCACTATGTGGAGTTGGATAAGAGCCAGAGCAGGGACATCGTCTCAGCCTGAGGGGTCTGGGGACACAGCACACACCCTGCTCTGGAGTCAAGGACTCCTTTTCTCCACATAGCCGTGACAGTCACCTTCCCACAAGCCCCAAGTGTTGTTTCAGGGTAGATATATGGGCACGGCTTCCTGAAGAATTCCGTTTTCTTTCCCACTGAGCAAAGGGGAAGGCGAGGTACACTGTGCACACCATGTCCACATCAGCGAGTGTTTTCTAAAGAGTATGTTTCAGGGAGAGGCTCTGGGAGGGCGTGTGTTTTCTTAGGAGCCAGAGGCTGGTTGCTCATGTTAAGAGGGTCAGCCATTTCAATAATATTTTCACCTGCGACCTGGCAGTGGAAAATTCAAGGCTGGCCAGAATGCTTAAAGAACATATTGACAGAACTGTTCGGATGAGTCCTCACATTCCTGAGATATACAGGCCTCTTCCTGCTGGGCAGACCCAGAGCACGGCTCTTCCTGCCTACAGCTTACTTGCAGAAGTCTTCCCTCTGCCAAGTCCCAGGCCAGCGGGATTTTCAGGGATGGTTGCCTCTCCTCTCTCTCCATGCCCTCCCTGGTCATGTCACCAGATACCGCCACCAAGGTGAGGAGGCCATTCTGAGTGGGTACGGGAAGTCAGCCACCAGGCTGTGGAGTGCCACAGTGATGGACTTGTGTGGATTTTGCTGGTAACTGTGGGGAGCGGGGTTTTGGAGATGGTGGTGGTAGAGGTGGACAGGCCGGTGGACAGTGGTTCATGTCAGGAGGATGAGGATGCAGACTATGTGGCTGGTGATGGAGGCAGCGTTCAGGATGGCAGGGATGGCGCTATTGGGCTAAAAGAGGCAGTGCTTATGGCAGAGGTGAGCGGGCCAATGGTGGTACTAATAGTGGAGACAGTAGTTCTAATAGTGACTGGCACTGGATGTGGCAGAGGCTATGGTTAAGAAGATGGTGTTTTAACTATAGATCAAGTTGGCTCAGACATTTCTAAGCAGATCTGGTGATTCTGGAGATGTCAGGGCTGTGCACAAGTGATCTGCTCAGGGTCGGACCCTGGGAACATTGAGACCGGCACTCATGCTTTGTCATCCACTGACACTCGTGTCTAGGGGTGGGGGAGAGGAATTACCTTTGGGCGTCCTGTTTAGAGGGTCTGAGGCTGGGTGGCCAACCTCTGGACTAAGAATGGGAGCGAGGCATAAACCCCTCCTCCATACTGCCCCTAGCTGCCAGCCCTGCCCAGCGCAGGTCTTCTACAACTGAGCAAGTCACGCCAGAATTCCTTCTGGCCCTGGGCCTTGGGTGAAGTTGAAGTGGCCTAGAGAGGGCTGAGACCATCACAAGCCAGGTGCCCCCACTGGGGAACCTGGCCAGAGGCCATGTGCCCACTGCCACATAGCTCTCTGTGAAGGAGCAGGAGCGAGGGTCCCTACTTGGTACTGGGGGGTCAGTAGCTCTGCGGATGCCTGGCGAACGAACTCTGCCAACGTCCCAACAGGTCGAGCCATGAGCCGCAGGGGCGCGCCGCGCTCCGCTGGCCTGGCTGTCGCCTAGGTGCCCTGGCGGCTGCTCGCCCCGCCCTGCCCACGCCTCTCCAGCCAGCCGCTGTCCGGCCCTGGCGGCGGGAGGGAGGAAGCGCTGTCCTCATTCCACCTCTGGCTGCCGCGGTGCCAAGTTGCTGGCCGCAGCAGCCGCGGGAGTTGGGGCGGAGGGCAGTGGCGCCCTCCCCGGAGCCCCCTCGAGCTCGGGGTTACTCACGTAGAGTCCGGAGTGCTCGGCGCCGAAGAACGGGAAGGGCACCGAGAGGGGCTGCAGCCCTGAGCCGCCGTCGTCCTGCTTTGGGGTGACGGCGTCGCCGCGCTTCGTGCCGAACGGGTAGAAGTCGGCGAGGGCCACCGCAGCGAGCACCCCGCGCGCCCCGAGCCCCAGGGCTGCGGCCAGCAGCAGCGCCCATGCGGCGCCGCGGCGCATCGCCGGGATCTGAGGGCGGGCCAGGGGGCTCCGGCAGGTGGCCGCAGTCACCGCACGGCCGAGTGGCCGCACTGTCGCCTCTGGCTAGCTCGCGCTCTGGACGCAGCACTGCTTAGGAAGGCGCGAGGCAGGACCGCGGACCGCCGGCCCACCTCCGGGACCCGGGTTTAAATAGTCAGCCCAGGCGGCCACCCGGGAGGGGCGGGGAGAGGCGGGCTCATGCAAATAGTGGCATTTTTAACTTGCTGGTCTTCCAGGCGGGAGGGAGCGCGAGCGAGGCATCCCGGTCTCCTTGTCTCTAGGCACTTAAAGCCAAACTAGTACTGGGTTGGCTCCACCTCCAGCCCAGAGACAACTCCCCCCACCCCCCACCCCCCTTTCTGGAGCTCCCTTACGGTTGGGCATTCGTGAGGTGAAGAATTGAATTCTCCAGGCACCAGCTTAGGGCCTGCCCACAAGGGGCGTCTGGGCTAACAGCAGTTCTGAGGCTGACTAGTTGCCCTATGGCCTGATTTTGGACAGGCTTCCTGTGTGTGTCTTCTGAGTTCCTGTCTGGCCAGAGCATCTTTCCCTGACAGAATGTTAGTCTGGACCACTTGGCCCTGCAGCACTTAGATGAACCACGTGCGGCCACACCCCAGTCCTAGCCTAGGTCACCAATTTCAGTGCCAGCTGAAGCCTGTCCCAGGGTCTATTCCTTATCTGGTTTCATTGAAGATGAACCTTGGGCCTGGAAGACTTGAAGACTTACACAGCTTTCTACCCATGTAAGGGTTTGTTTTTGTTTGTTTTTCTGAAGGGATCAGACACCCATCACAGCTGGAAACATCATGGAGACCTGTGGGTAGGCCAGTACTCAGGTCCCGGGGGCAAGCTGATAAATGCTGCTGGAGGGGGATCAGCTGCTATGGTGCCTTAACCCTCCTTGCTCATCTTGAGAATTGCTTTCTAAGTGACTGTCCAGCTTTAGGAGTGCAATCTGGTCCATTCCTGTGTCCCCAGACACTACAGGGATTTGAGTCCTGGGGCCTCAGTCTCTACCATCTTCTCTGCTCCCAGATCCTACTATTGGGTGACATGTAGCTATAAACCAAATCTGGGATCCCCAAAGACAAGACAGCACCTCTCAAAGAGAAGCAAAAAATGCTGCAGGAGTAACAGCCGCCGCCACTGAGATTCTGGGTGGTTTTAGGCTGGCTTTGCGTTTTTCTGTGTTTCCTGAAATCTTTCTAACGAGCATGTGTTGTGTTTCAGTTAGAACAAGGAACATTACATGTTATTTTTAAGGGATAGCAGAGAATTCTCTGTGTGTCAGTCAGGGTTCCTAGCTCACACAGAGCCTGTTCGCAGCAGCCTTATCTCGTGATGGTCCCAACCCTCTTGCCTTGGTGTCAGGGACAAGCGCCAAATTTAAGGAGGTGGCCCCCCGCAGCCATCTTAGTTTGCACTGGCCAGAGCCTGAAGGTGATCACCTCCTTCCATCCTGTGCCGAGTGCCTGCCTGGCTTGCTCTTGCCCCCACTCCAGCTCTGTGTGCTCATCCTGTTTTGCAGAGGGATAAACTAAGGCTGGACATGTGAAAGGTTCCGCTCTACAGGTAGCTATAGAAGAGCAGCCCCTGGTGCCAGGGATGGTGGCACACGCCTTTAATCCCAGCACTCAGGAGGCAGAGGCAGGTGGATCTTGGAGTTTGAGTCCAGAGTGAGTTCCAGGGCAATTGGGCTACACAGTGAACCATGTCTCTCAAAACCAAAAAAAAAAAAAAAAAAAAAAAAAAGCATCAGCCCTATCCAGGCTCCTGAATTTGAGTGCTCTATGGTGCGTTCCCTTACCTCACTGACCAGGCCAAGTCAGGGTTGGGACCAGGCCTCACAAGGCACCCTCTAGTATGGAGCTGCCAGCATGCCTGGTCACCATACTGGGGACCCAGGAGCCTCTAGCTTCTTTGTGTTGCGTTCTGCACCTGCAGGAAGCTCCCATCTCCTCTCATTGGCTTTCTCAGATGGAAATGTGGCAGGTGGCAGCACCAATTCCAAGGGTGGACGCTCAGAGGACTACAGATTTGCCCTTCTGCCCATGGGACACTAAGTGGAGCCCATCACTACCCAGCCCTGTTCTTTCCAACCACACAGCCTTGCTTGACCCTGAGTGCCCGGCCCCAGTTCCCACCTCAGTACTACCACTTCTCCCAGGCACATGCCTCAGAGGGTCCTAGCAAAGCCCCCCATCTGGATCTGGGTTTGGGTCTGCTTAGGAACTTCTGGGTTGCCACAGGACTCAGCACACTGTCAGGTACACAGTGGTGCTCAATAGATTCATTGATTGAAGAGTATTCTTCCAGGTATGTGAAGCAGTAGGTGGGACATGGGGTCCTGACCGCTTCCCACTAGAATCCCCTGATCAGCTATGGGGTGCCAGGACACAGGCCTCTCTCGGAACTGGGCTTGAGGGTAGGTAAAGCTGTAAGCTGGGTCTTCTGATCTCCATCAAGAGTGGTGGTACTGACTTCTATCCCCAACTGGGTGCCCTGTGCAGATTTCCAGTGAGGCCTGGGAGACAGGGTTTGGGGGCGGGGTGGGGGGCTAACACAAATTTCACTGTCGTTGCTGGGCATTACATTTTACACACACACACACACACACACACACACACACACACACACACAAGACCCACAGGCAAGAGCTTTTTTCAGGTGCTAAAAATATTATCAGGAAATACTTTTCAGCAACATGCCGTTTTAGGTCCCCCCCCCCCCCACTGGACTCAAGGGCGCCTTTGTCTCTACCACAGAAAATCCACATTTATCACAACCAAAATCGTTTTATCAAGCAGGCTCATGCTCTGCAGCAGGAAACTTGAGCTCCCCAAGAGGCCTGTGACACTTTAATTTAGAGCCCAACTGTGTGTGCCTGTTTTAGTGGGGGAGCCCCAGAGCCACCCACCAGATGTTCAGGCCTCAGGAATCCATGAAGGTCAAGATGGAGAACACTATTCTTGTTCTGCGTGGTAAGGGGATTGGGCTAGTCAGCTGGTCCCACACAGCAGGCCTGAGGCTGCCACCCACCCTGCCTTTTTCTCCTTCCCTTTGGATATAACTAGAGAAACACATGCTCCCCAGCTCTTTCCATCATGAGGCACAATCAGAAGCCCCCACCCTCTGTTGTTCCAGGATGGGGCCCAGGGCAGGTGGGCCCCGCTTCTGAGGAGAAGCACATAGCCCACCTATAGGTGAGACTGGACAGTCCACCTTGACAAAGGGGAGCGATGCTGTACCTGCACAGTATCTGCACATGAGGCCTGCCGACCTCAGCACCCACGACATGACCTTTGCTGTTGCTCTGGGGAAGACAATTAGCTGGAGCTCAGCATGGGCTTCCCAAATGGCTACAACTTGCTTTGTTTCAAGCAAATAGGAACTGAAAAGGCCAAGGCAGGTGGGGCGCAGGCAGAGCTTTCCCACCCATTTGAGGGGGTGGTGATGCAGGAATTGACCTATGGGAAACTCTGAGTCCACTTGAGGTACAGGGTGGCTGGGGATATATGCATATGTGTACCTGGGCTCCACTAGATAGGTACCTTGGGGACCATCTCCTTCAGGGACAACTCTATTTCCTGCTTCCTGAAAACTGAGGCAGCTGTCATAGGATGGACATGTAGACCTGGAGAAACCACAGCCAATAAAGTCACTCTGCTGGGATATTTTTAAAGGCATTGGGAAAACTCTGATGATATCATGCCAAGTAAAACATTTGGGAAACAGCATTCAGGGTAGCATGCCCATTACAACCATCCTAAGTGTGTTTTCTGGAGAAAGGAACTTCTCAAGTTTCTCCTCTGTAGCAGCGGGGTTCAGATTATGTGTGGTGGTGTGATCTTTACATGCCTCCTGCGTGGTTTTATTTTCTTGTATAACAATCTTTCAGTCAGGCACAGATCACATATTCCAGATGGTCTCCAAAGAGTGGATCACCCAGGAATATTGCAGTGATCTTGATTTGTGTAATAAATTCCATGATGCTCTGTAGTGACAAAGTTGCCCCATGACATTTCTCAGATGTCCATTGTTCAACGACACAGGATGTCTTTTTAAAAAATATTAATGTTTTAGACATCTCAAATAAGTAGTGCATGTCGATTGCATCCTGCTCCAGCGTAGTTAAGGGGAGTCTTTGCTCCTACTCCGGGTCTGATGCTGGCCAATCTCTTGATGTGACATCCGAGCTCTCAGTCTGGCCTTTTCTCCAAGCTCTCCCTGAGCCCAAGCCCTTCTGTTCTATTTGTCTTCTCCCTACAGTGACCTGAGAGGTTGGTGAGGCTGGGAGCTCCAGACTGAGGCACCCAAGGGCTTGGTCAGAGCCCCTGGTCAGAGGGAATAGGGATGTTAGTACCCTCAGTATGGTCCAGATCTCTCAGTGGAGGTTGCACAATGGCATGTGTCTGTCAGATTCTGTGTTCTGTCTCTAAGAACTGGGCCAATGCCTGATTCTGGGCCGTCTGTGTATATGTGTACCGGTTTGTCTGTCTGTCTCCTGGTGTTCAGAGCCCTGGGAGATATCTCTGTATTTTGTGCTCCCCAACCCCTGGAGGGGATGGAGAGCAGGCCGAGGCTCATCTGTGGAATGCCAGCTGAGGAGTTACACATGAGATCCAGGCCTAACAATGTATGTGCCACTCCAGGCTCCACAAGGAGCTGAGACTCCATCGTTGCAGGACAATGCCTGGGAGCCACTTTCTCATTCTCACAGACATCCAGAGAGCCTGTTCAGATAGCTCAGGTGAGCGGCAGAGCTGAGGCACCCATCTGAGGCTAGCACCTCTCAAATGGATGTTGGGATCCATCAGACTTCGTACAGATCAGGAACCAAATGTGGGGCAGTCTTAAAAAAAAAAAAAGAAAGAAAGAAACTGCTTGCCTTTCCTTGGAAGTAAGACTGGGCAGTTCCAGCAGTGAGGTATCAGAGTCCTTTCCTCTCAAACTCTGGGGAGGACAACAGCCAGAAGGCTAGGTCCCCCACCATCTGCCTAGTCTGAATTGTTCACCCCAGCTGCCTCCTTCTTTGGCCTTGCCTCTATCCAGGGATATCATTCCACCTTCTTTAGTTTGTGCTTGCAGCTCCACTGGGCAGGCGGACTGAGGCAAGGCCCGAATGGAGTGAGCTGTGGGGTCCTGGATTTGACCCACTGGCTGCCAATAGTTAGTTACCTATCTGATCTTGGCCCAGTTGCAAGGTTCCCCCCTCCCCCCAAACAGTGGTCTCATAGCACAGATGTGAAGGCCTTTCACAATTTCCACCACTCTGCCCAGAGCAGTAATCAACAGACTCTGACACACACCAATGTGCACACACCTTAGAAAATGTTTAGAGAAATGCAATATATTCTTTAGAAAACATCTCTTTTCCCAAACACATTCCTTTATGTTGAATAAGTAAGAACAATATCCCCTGAACTGATTTAAATACTCAAAGCGTGGCACTCTCAGAAGGCCTCACTGTACTCTGAATGCTCTCCTGAGCAGCCAGTGTAAAGGCCCCGGATCACCAGGGAGCACCTTGGCCAGATCACAGTGTCTTTCACTTTGGTGCTGAGAAGTATCCAGGCTTCTTCCTGCTGAAGTGTGTCCTCCGCTTCCAGGTACATTTCCAGGATACCCGCTCAGCTGGCAGCTTCAATCCCATCAGTGTCCCCGGGACACCAGTGAGTCCTGCAAGGACAGGAAGAGCCACACTGCACGTGGGCTCCTGGAATGAGCAGTGGAGGAACTCCCTGGCTTCCTGTGGACATCTCCAGCTTCTGCGCCACTCTGGGGTCCTTGAGCAGGGAGTTCACTCCTACCACCAGAGAACTGTAGACCAGGGAAGGAGGGAGGTGAGGCCAAGTAGGAAGTCCCAGCTTCTCAGTCCTTGGAACAGGCCATCCACTCTCCTCCACTAGGCTCAGTGTTGGCTGGTACCTGGCAACTGTAGGTGGGCACATATCAGGGTACCTGTGCCACTGCCAACTTATCATTTGTCCAGGGAAGCCATTGCCAATGGGTCTCTGTGCTCTTTCAGAGCCTGGGCTGAACTTCAGGATCCTTCTTAACACTGTCACCAGTGATCGAGCCTATCTGCCCACCTTGACTGTGCAGGATCTGGTTACTAGGTTCAACCGAAGGTCTGATGCCAGGATGGCTGATTTTAAGTCCCTGGTGATCTTGAAGTGAACTGACAGGCTGTCACATGTCTTGGCCACAGCTACATGACTGTGACTGGATGGGCTCCAGGAGCCTCTGGCCTTTCCTGCCCCATGCCAGGGTCCTCGAAGATGCTTCGGGAGGTCCTGGAGGAGGCACAAGCTGTGGGCCAACCTGCACCCTGTGGTGCAGGCAAGCATTTACCAGGCTGGCTGGTAGCCTAGAGGTACTGGAAAGTGCCATTTACAATGCCAAAGAGACTGGTCGGAGGGGAAAACAAGTCATTCTGGCTAGTGCTAAATAGGAGAGAGGGATACAGATGCCAGCAGGTGAGGCAGGAGCAGGCTCTGCTAAGATGATGGCCTTGGTCTCCATAGCAACCAGAGCAGGGTTCTCCACTGGTGTTTTCCAGCATTTTTTTTTTTTTTTTTTTTTGGTGTAGAAATGGGAGATGCTGGAAGAGCTTCATATCTCCAATGCCCCTGTGGTCAGCGAATCAAGGGGACTTGCATCTGAGTCATTTCCAGCCACCTGCCACCAAGCCGGGACTGCAGTTCCTGGATGTGGAAGATTCTGTGGCCTCTGGATGTGGGGTGTGGTGGCCGGCCTTGCAGGACATTGTGTTTTTGGCTCTTGCTGGTGGAAATGTTTTCCATGTGTTTCCCAGTGTTTACAGAGCTGAGGGCATGGAATGCAGCCCATGGCAAGGGAGCTGGTCTGACAGGGCCCAGCCACCAGTGCCTGGCCCAAGTAGCAGGTCCAGTTTGGAAATGGAGCCCCAGGCCCGGTATGGGCTGAGGGGTGATCAACGCCCCTGCTCCTTGCAGCAGGGAGAAGTTTTAAAGAGCAGTGACCAACAATGTGGCCCAGGTCAGCGGGAGGCTGAGGTCCCCATAGGCAGGGTTGCTGCAGTCTGGGGAGGCACTGGTAGTGTAGTGTGCTTTGGTTGGTGGCTGCCTATACGTGCAGCTTCTCACAACACACCAATGTTTGTTGAACTTGGCCCCTCTAGTATAGTGTGCATAGCACCAGTTTCCCCAGTAGCCCAGGGCCCCAACATCCACCCCAGAGCCCGCTGTCCTGGCTGATTGGTGCAGGCCACCCAGCACAGGGGTGCAGGGAAGGAACTGCAGTCATTGCTTAGCTCAGAATGTCGTCTAGTCGCTGTGGGCCTGTCGCTGCCGCCGCCACACTTCCTGGTCCAGCTGTTTCTTCAGGCTAGCCACCTGGGGACAAAGTAGAGCCTCAGTCAGGTGGGGGAACGACCCCAGGAACAGAGCCATGAAGAGTTGTGTCAGGAAGGGCTGGTGTCGGGGGGGGGGGGGGGGGAGGCTGTAGTCCATGGCTCCCAAGGGAGTGTGCATGGGATAGAAACAGCAGATGGACAGGCAGAGGGACTCATCAGCTTAGGCCTGCAATGATGAGCATCTGTAAGCACCCTATGAGTAGTGAAGGGGATTTTTTTTTCTGCTATGACCAGAAATGTGCTTAGAATGACTGGGTTAGAATAAGCATTGCTAGTGGGTCATGGACACTAAGTCGGAGGTAACACTGGGCATCCACTTTGCCTCTCTGTATCCATTTCCGTAAAATAAGGGTTTTGACCACCAGGGGTTCTAAGGTTCTGACTCAGCAGTTCAGCTGGGGCAGGCTCAATGCACACACACGTACTTGTGCGAGTGCACTGTACGCACACTCCCAAGCTCTGTGTTCAGATGCATTTTCCCAGCCCGCTAAACTAGCTGCTCACGTGCTGATGTTCTCCCTGTGACTCAAAGGACAGGTATGGGGCCACCACTGTTAGCTGTACGCCACAGGCAGTCTCTGCATGTCACTGGTGACGGCCAGCTTTACGGCTACCTCTGACAGGAATCATCCTCTCAGGGACAGGGCAGTGGAGGTCCAGAACCCATGTTCTACCACTCATTGAGCTGCAGGTGATCCGTGGAGTCGCTCATAAAAGGGCAGACAGACACACAGAGTATGCTAAGAGCCAAGGCTCCCAATAGACATCACGTGGTTACCCTTGCATGGGGTGCTATGGGAACAGGGGCTCTTCCTTTCCCCTTATGCAGCCCTGCTCAGAGGACCTGGGCTCCTGGCCCTACCTGTCTTTCCAGGACCTTCACCCTCTGCTGGTGTATCTGCTCACGGGACTCCAGAGCCTGTGTGGCCTGCAGCTGGGCCTCGTGGAGCCTCTTGGCCTCAGCTGCCAGGTCCCGCTGGTGCTGGGCAGCCAGCTCTTGGAGCCGCTGGGTGTGGGCCTGTTCCAGCTCCGCCATCTGGGCCTGGAGTGAGAACACAGGCACTGAGGGCTGCTGGGATCCTGGGGTCAGGTCCAGTGGGATGCCCCACCCTATCTTTGGGGCTGCACTTCCTGTCTTGGCCCCACTGCTTTCGGCTGAGGTGCTGGCCCTGGCCCAGGACCAGCAACAGACTGGAGCTGGCATACATATTTAGCCCACAGGTTTTGAGTCCAGGCCACCTGCTAAGGGTTTTGCTGGGCTGGAGCCCAAGCCACAGGCCCCAGGAGTGGGCCTTAAATCTGTGTGAACAGCCTCCCAGGTTCCCTTGGAGGTTACTGAATATTGATGATTATCCATCCTCCCTAAAGGTAGTCAGCTGGAATGGGGGGTGTCCGTGGCAGAAGGGGGGACAGAACCCTCAAAGGAGCACAGGCTGGTATCAAGCCCTGGGCCTAGGAGATATGTATGGCCCCATCATAATGGAGTAGGCCTGTCTGATCCTCCTGTTTCTTGGGCCATTTTGCAGAGCCTGGCTCACAAGCCCCCCCCCCCCCCCCCCAGTCCTAAAAGACTGCTCTCAGTCCTGACTCCAGTTCTGTTTGGAACTCTGAGGGGATCTCTGGTGGACTCACTGTCGTCTCGGTCTCGGCTTGGCACTCGTCACAGCCAGCGACCTGTCCAGCTGCCTTTTCTGTACATGTGCATGTATGCACATGTGGCATTCGCATGCATGGGATACACATGGGCCCACCACTTGGGGACCGCACCATTTGACTCTGCCCCAGGTTTATCCCCAAGCGTACACAGCGCAGGGCTCCACTGGCTCAGCTCACCTGCAGCTGCTGGCTCTGACGAAGGGCCCCGTCTACTTCCTGGTGTAGACTGCTCAGAGACTGCAGCAGCAGCTCCTTCTTGGCTCCCAACATCGCTGTGTCTTCCTCCTTCCTCAGGGTCTCCTGCTCTGTCTGCAGGGAGACAGGGAAGACCTGTGGTGGGATCTTTTTAGGGTCTTTCTGGAAGAGGTGCAGTATCAGGGCAGACTGCCCTCCGGAGAGTAAAGGATGCTTCTGGGATGGACTCCAAATCTCCCAGTGGAGTTGGCAAGATTACTGCCCCTGCCCGGATCTATTGGCATCTGCAGCCAGAGTAGGAGCTAAGGAAAAGGGGCCAAGTGTCTGCCCTGTTTTGGACCAGCAGAAGTTCCTGCAGTGATCCTTGGTAAGGGAGGGGGTATTTGAAGATCCATGCAACTCTACCTCTTGCAAGACTTACTCAGGCCTCTTGAGCCCTACATGCCCCTATGGTCTTTTGCAATGCACAGGACCTTCTAACTCTGCACACCCAAAGCCATCGTCACTGTCACAGTGCCAACAAAGGTGTATCAAAGTGGCATAGCTGTCTTTGCCGTCCTGGGACAGAGTCCTCCTTGTCACCCACTCCCACCAGGATGGGTACAGGACAGGAGGAGGAGCCTGTAGGTTAGATATGAGACATAATCATTTCCCGTGCGGAGGTCAGGGATCCTTTTCTCTTGCGGATGGAACCTCTGGAAGACACAACTGACGAGAAATCCTCTCCCTTGAGAACGGCAGAAGCCTGCCTACCCACCCAGGGAGCCTAGAGTATCTGCATGGTGCTCTCGGAAACGCAGGGGATCTCGGCTTCATAGTCTCACCAGGCTGGCCATCAGCAAGGCAGGACTAGAGGCAGGCCTTGTTCTTAAGCCGGACTGTCTCTTTGCTCAAACGCTGGGCCTGCTTGCTGCTGGTCTGCTGCGGTCATGTCCAAGTGCCATGCAGCTCCCTTTTCAGTACTAGGCAGACCTACTTGTGCCATCTGGGGCCTGGAGCCCAAGCGAAACTCTCGGGACCTTGGGATATAGTGAGTTGTTTGCATGGGCAAAGTTATAGGATCAGGATCTGAGCCTTAAAAAAAAATAAAAATAGAAATTTTCTTCTTTAGCATTGAGAAAAACAAAGAGTCCTCTCCACTGGAAAGGGAACCCTGTTTCTTTAAAAAAGAATCTAGTTACACTGCTAGAAATGCGTATTATAAAGAGAAGAGAAAAGTGAAATCCAAAATAAATAAATGTCCACATCCGGGTTTCCCCTCCTGAGACACCAATAAAGGGTTTATGGGTTTGTGGGCCCCTCACAGCTGACCTCCTGGAACTAATTAGCTGTTCCTGCCCTCCCCCTCTTGGGCCCCAAGGACCCGACGCTGGCATTGTGCCCACAGCTAGCTCTGTTGCCCCTAGGCAGTGCCACCTCCAGGGAGGCACTGATGCTGCTCCCCACCCCTCCTCAGCTGGGACTAGCACATCTTTCCCTCCAGCAACTACAGTAAGATCCTAGTGACCCTTTCCCGCTGACACCACCTTCCCTTTGTGGGAAGGCAGGCAGCCTTTTATGGACAAGCTGGTTGGTGGCTTTTGTAACCACCCTGGCCTGCTGGCTCCTGTGCCCTGGGCAGGCTGGGGTGTAAGGGTGAGTAAAGAGGCCTTGAGAGGGGGGGCCTGCGTTGGAGCCCATGCCTGAGGCCCTCAACATCTCAACACAAATGTTCCTGCTTCGCTGCTTTGCAAACGCAGACACAAAGCCCCAAGCAATCAGGTTGCTGACGCCACTTGGCCAGCCTGGCAGAGTTTACCCTTCCCTTCTCCCTTCCACACTCCATCCTTCATCTCCCTCCTGACTCTTTCTCTGGGGCCAGTCCTCTGGGCCTTTTCTATCTTGGAGAGGGCAGTGAGGGTATCAGAGTTCTGTGGCCACAGCCTAGCCCTGTACTCTGCAAAGCTAGCTTAAATGAGCCGTGTCCTGCTCCTCTCTGCTTCTTCTAGTGGGTACCGGGCTGCACGAATTCTGTCTTGTACCCTGACCCGTGCTGAGCAATGACCATCCATAGCCCTACGCAGCATCAAGACCACTGGGTCTCATTGTTTGGCCTGCCTGTCTGCTCTGCTCTACATGTGCTGGGGGAAGGGGGGCGCTCTCAATGAGAAATATGAGAAGGGGACAGGCAATGAACATTGAGAGAGGCTTGCAGAACACTGTATCTGCCGCCTCACCTGCTGCCCCTGACAGCCCATGACATCCTTCAAAGTTGGGGGCTAGTTCCACTGTGAACAGGACCCAGGAGCCCAGGAGGTAGTTTGGGCAGAGCTGGCCACAAATTCAGGGGTGGTGCTACTAATCCATGGTACTTCACCTTCCTCAAAGACAGTCAAGATAGGGTGCCTTGTCACCACCAGAGGTCTCTACAAGGTGCGTGGAAGCGCTGGGGCTGCCTCTGAACTTGGCACCATGGCTAGGCCGGATGTAGACACTGAAGCCTGCTGGACCAGCCTTTCTTTTCCTAGCATCCGCTCTCGGGCCAGCCGTGGATCTTCCCCACTTCTTGCCGCTCTCTCCCCTGTATCTCTAGGAATCTTCCCCGCCTCAAAAACAAATACCTGTATGAGGCGCGTGCGCAGCGCCGCGAGCTCCCCCTGCAGGCGGGCCCGCTCGGTGCGCAGTGAAGTTGTTTGCTCCCGCAGGGCTCGCCTCTCGGCCCGCTGGGTCGCTGCCGCTTCCTGCTCCCTGTGACTCCGCAGAAGCACCTGGGTGGGAAGAGGCTGCATGGGCATGGACCAGGAATGGGAGATCCTTGGCCTCCCGGAGTCAGGCATTCTGTCTGAGGACGGTCTTGGGCTCAGCTTATCCCCCCCCCCCCCCGCCCCCAAACTATGCATCTGCTAATAACCCATCCTTCTGGAGGTGCCTACTGTGGAGCGAGAAAGTCAGTCCTCGGACTCCCTGTCCCTCCAACCTCAGTTTTCTTGACTGTCTGTCATCTGGGAATTGGATGCACAGTCGACTCCACACCTGCCTCTGGCATCTGCCTACGGCCTTCTTTTATGCTGAAGAACTTTTTAGGTATTCCTCGCCATGGTGAGCAGGTTCACTGCCTCCCTGCGACAGGTATACCCTGTCCTCCTGGGGCCCCTCACCTGCTGCAGTGGCCCCAGCTGCCTCCCCTTCTCTGTAAGGCTCTGGCTGTGCTTGCTGCTCTCTTCCAGGGCCTGGCGCAGGGTGTCCACTTGCTCCTAGGAAGGGAGAGAGAGAGGGGTGGGGTGGGGGTGGGAGTGGGGGAAGCATGAGAGTCACGGCCTCTGCCCGAGAGCCTGCGGGTGTGTGGATGTGATAGACAAGAACATGGTCGAGGATAAGGTGCTGTGCGCCGGTAGGCAGTGAGTGGTTAGTGCAACAGCAGAGAGGTGGAAGGCTCTTTCAATGTCCTCTGGCTTCATTAAGAAGGACAGAACAGGGGCTGGAGAGAGATGGCTCAGGGCTTAAGAGCACTGAATGCTCTTCCAGAGGTTCTGAGTTCGGTTCCCAGCAACCACATAGTGGCTCACAACCACCTAGAATGAGATCTGGTGCCCTCTTCTGGTGTGCAAGCATACATGCAGGCAGAACATTGCATACACTATAGATAAACAAATCTTAAAAAAAAAAAAAAAAAAAAGGCCGGAACAGGCTACCAAGCACCCTAAATCTGTCCCTTGGGCCCAAACTGATGACTTTGGGTCATTGAGGGTGTGTGTGTATGTGTTCATATGGGCTTGTGCACATGTGTGTGCAGGTACATAGGCCTGTGCATGTGGAAACTAGAGGATGCTGTATATCGTCCATGATCATTCTCCACCTTAGGGTTTTTAAAAATTTATTTTTATTTTATGTGTAAGAGTGTTTGCTTGCATGCATATGAGTGTACCACATGCATGCTTGGTGCCTGCAAAGGCCAGAAAAGAGCTTTGATTGGATCCCCTAGAACTGGAGTTATGGAATGTTGTGAACCACCCTGTGGGTACTGTGAATCGTACATTCCTGGGTTCTCTGCAAAAGAAGCAAGTGCTTTTAGCTCCTGAGCCATTTTCCCAGCTCCTCCACATTTTTTGAGACAGGGCATCTTACTGAACCTAGAGCTCATTTATTCCACTAAGCTGGTCGTAAGTGAGCTCCAGGAATCCACTTGCCCTCTCTTCGAGGCTGAGGTTACAGGCACACTGCTGTCTACGTTGTGCTGGTTCTCCTATCTGATCATGCTGGCCACCACAGTTTTAACATTCTCCTTCAAAATTTTGTTAGCATATCTCAAATATTATCTACCCTGTAAATAGACAAAACCAAACCCAAAGCGCCCAGCCAACATGTAACCATCAAGCCCACACAGAAATAAAGACCCACATGAAACTGATCTAAGCAAGCCATCCTCTGTGCCAGAGCCCAACCCCTCTAGGGAGCATGTGCACAAGGGACGCACAGCAACAAGAAGTGACAAAAGAAGCCAGGGACACCGGGAGAGAGGGTGAGAATTTATACTCCAAACTTCAGGAAGACTGGGATGTAGCTCAGTGTGTAGAGTATGTGCCTAGCATACATGACGTCCTGTGTCTGATCCCTTAGCACCACATAAACTGGGCATGATGGTGTCTGCCTGTAAATGAAGTGCTTGGGAGGTGGAGGCAGGAAAATTAGAAGTTCAAAGTCATCCTTAGTTATGTACTGAGTTCAAGGCTAGCCTGGGCTACACGACTCTGAGGAAACAAAACCAAACAAACAAACGAATGAAAACCACTGCAAGGACACACAGCAAATCACAGCTAGGGAAAATGGAAAGAGAGCTCAAACACCAACAGATCACTTTAAAGAAGTAGGAAACTGCAGCAAAAACAATAAGATATAGTATTATTAGTGATAAGAGCTGGAATGAGTAATTGAGATGGAAACGGGAGAAGAGATAAAAGTTGATTATTTGAAAAGACGGACTTGGGGTAAGGCAGATTAGGAATAACAGAGTAACACCAACAGCAAACCCTGCAATGGTCAGGGACTGTGGGGTATACGATTCCAGACACACCTCCACCCAGTAAACCATTGTGCACATACATTCATGTACCACATTTGCATACATGTGTAAGTCAACTGAGGCCCAGGGTGATGTACATACAGGTTCTTGGCATGCCTAACTCCCAAATGACATACTGATCCGAGAAATGGCAGAGACAAAGACTGGCCAGGACTGGAGGGGATAGCGTGCATGACAGGAGCTGTAGGGTGGAATAGTTAACCTTTCTTGAAAAGCTAATTCCCGTGCAGTTTCTATCACTCCAGTGATAGACAAGGATAGGAAGCTCAACAATTCTTTTTATAGCAGGACATATTCTTAGCACAGATAAATCCAAACACATGTGACATCACTGAGGAATTACAGCTGCAAACATTGACAGCAGCTGGGCCCGCATGCCCGCGATGTGAGCCCCAGCAAACGTGCGCCCCCAAGGCAGGCCAGGTACGCCCAGACTTGGAACCCAGAGCTTGGTCCTAAGGCTTCTTTATGCCAGCAGGAGAGCGAGCGAGCGAGCGAGCAGTGGGCTGTGTAAATCAGTGGAGATGTTCAGGGTGTGCTTGCCACAGGGGAGGCCTGGGCAGGAGTCCAAGGACTCTTCAGGCGCCGCTAGGACTCTGGGGCTGTGACCTGGTGCCAGTCCCACAGAGAATGTTAGTGGCCTCTCCACTGGGGCATGAGGAATGTGTGCACAGGGGGCAGTTCTTGGTTCCTCTGCTTGAAAGCCCATCCAGATGCATGTGCCCTGGTGCTGGTGGGTGTATGTCCTCATGCTGCGGACACGGCTGTACATGCAGCTGGGTCCCCGGGGTAGTCCTGTGTCCTGTCCTTCTGCTGGGTCCCTAGGACAGTCCTCTGTGTCTATCATTCTGCTGGGCTCCCTGAATAACCTTTGTGTCCCATTTTTCTGTTGGGTCCCAGGATAGCCATGTGTGTCTTGTTGTTCTTCTAGGTTCTCAGGGCAGCCCTGTGTGCCCTGTTGTTCTGCTGGGCCCAGGAGTAGCCCTGGCAACGGGAAGGAGTTGCTCTCAAACAAGACTTGTACTGTTTGCATAGCACAGCCTACCATTTAATTAGAAAAATATGTTTTTAATTAACTTTTTCTTGACAAACACATTGGCTTATGTGAACGGGGGTGGGGGGGGTGGGGGGGTGGAGGGGTGGGAAGAATCAGTCCATGAAAGTGAAAGAAGTGGTGTAAAATGCAGGGCTTGCTTTGGAATATGCCCTAGGTTTGGCAGAACCAGGAGGGCACTAGGCCAGCCTTGTGGGGGCTGGCAACAACCCAGCTGTGGCAAGGGGGCACTGGGAAGCCATAAGAGTAGCCATGTCCCCAGGCCTCCAGCTGGCCAAGAACAAAAGGCACTTTTCTAGGGTTATGAGAAAAAGATGGCATAATGTTGATAGGTTTTAGGAGACTTCTATTAAAAAAAAAGTGAATCTTCATTGAACTGAGAAGTGGCTATGGACAGAGGAGAGCAGAGAGACAAGGGCCGATATCCAGATCCCAGGGAAACTGACTCATATGGATAAGGTGGCCCCCCATGCCCCCCAGGACCCCACACTGGCAAGCTTGGAGCAGAGGGCACCTCAACAGCAGCGTCACTAGGAAAGCAAGGCTTTGTCTCTTTGTTCCCGGGCAGAGGGTCTTTGGAAGGGGGAGACGCTGCTCTGATGCAGGCCGACATGGTTCCCCACACCTTTCTGCCTTTCCCCTCAGCCTACGATGTCAGGATGGAGTCTCCAAGTTCCCACGGACTCTTCTTCTACTCTGACTTCCAACAACAGCCAAGTTCCCCTCTTTTCAAAGACGGGCAAAGTAAAAAAAATCATGGAAGAGTGCCATTCAGAGGGGTTAGGTCTGCGGCCTGCTAGCTAGCCAAACTGAGTATTGTTTTTAAGGTGAGCTAGGGCAGGGGCCAGAGGTCCAATGATCAGAAAAAGGACAGTCACAGCCCACGATGCAGGGAAGACTGATGACCCAACTTCTGGATTTGGGGGAACAGTGACAGGAAGAAGAAGTGGGAGGCAGGGGCCAGGAGTCCAGCTTAGGCCCCAGTATCAAGAGTCTTGAGTTAGACAAAGCGCTAAGAAGAGACTGGTGAAGAAAGGGGGGTTGTTTGTTTGTTTGTTTGGTCTATTTTTGCACTGGAGATTGGGCCTAAGGCCTTGCGTATGTTGATGAGAGCTCTACTCTTGAGTCATATCTTCAGCCATTTTCCTATTTTGTTTCTTTTGAGTCGGGGTTTCATGGCTACCCAGGCTGTCCTTGAACTCCGTCAATGTTTTAGGTAGTCCTTGAACTTCCTCAGCCTTCCCACGGCAGCATCTGGAGTGGCTGAGGTTACAGCCCTGGCTGAGATGCTTCTGAAGTGGCAAGGACTGAGAGCAGAAGGCAGGTGACTGGACCCTGCTGGTGCAGAAGGCTCACAGCAGACAGGAAAAGGTGGTAAGAGGGACTGTGGCAAGGCAACATTTTGGTAATTCACATAGCCCTGGCTAACTTGGAGCTCTCTTGTTATACAAAGCAGGCTGCCTTGGAACTTGTGGCAATCCTCCTGCTGCTGTCTCTTGAGTGCTAGACTCACCATCACACCCAGACTTGGCAACATTTTTTGAATTTTAAAGACAAGCGAGCCTTCTGGCTTCCACCTTAGAGAGAGCTCTAAGAAAATCTGCAGAACTGTCGCATCTTGGTAACGCATCTGAGACGGTGCTCAGAGGGCAACAAAGAACCTGAAGTCTGAGAGAAATCAGGTCCCTCCCAGGGGAGCAGGGCCACACAGTGCTTCCTCACCAGGGCTATGATGTCATCTGGAATGCCCCGTACAGTCGAAACCATACCAGTCAGGTTCTGAGGGACCCTTGCATCTCCTTGCTGTGCTAAGATCATGTGAGGTCACAGAGCAAGGCACGATGTAGGGGGTATGAAGGCTACGACTCTGTTGATGGGTTAGCCACACGGGAGGCCTGCTGCTCAGCTCCATCTAGTCGCACAAGAGCTTTGAGCTGGGATCAGAAGAGGAGCAGGAACTGTCTTGAGTTGTCTAGCTCACATTGTCCTTCTGTGAGTCAATCCAGGAGGGCCCATGGTTGGGAGCCTGAGTCCTAGAAGCTAAGTGGTACTTGGCCCAGGCCCAAAAACCTCAGCCTTAGAATGGCAAAAAGCTGGACTTGCCCTAGCAAGCCTGGAGGGCCTTCTACGAGGCCTTTGGTAGGGATTCTGCCAGCTCTCCCCAGGAGAGGCCCTCTGTGCCGGTGCTGTCTCTGAGAATGGGCTTCCTGCATGAGGGAATTTAGATCATTGGCTCATGGTCGGTCACAAGCTGCAAAGTCACGGGAAGCTTTTGACCAAGTGTAAGCTGTAGCGGGTAGAGAGCCCAGGTCTGTGGCAGAAAAGGACATGGAGGCTCAGGGCACAAGTGTGGGATGTGGTGGCAGGCAGCCTCCCAGAGGTCCATCTAGAGGAGATTGAGGAACAGACAGATCCTCAGCACCAAGACACAGGCAGAAGCAGTAGGGAAGAGAGACAAAGACCCCTGCCCCGGACTTGGGAAGTGGACCTAGCCCAGCGGTGGGAGGACCCCTGAGCACAGCCAGCAGTGACCACCTTTCAGATGACCCTAGAGGAAGACCTGAGAACTGAGGCTGGAGGAAGACGGGAAAACAAAGAATGAACTTTCTGTTCACGGATGAGAAAGCACAAGTCTAAGAAAGCTCAGAGAAGCAAGTGTGGACGCAATCCGAGGAGAAACCGTTTCTCATCACGTGGCCCTTGTCAATAGGGTAAATGCCTGAAAAGGCAAAGTTGGATAGAAACAGCTGTGAATGAACATAAAGGGCAAATGAATGCAGCGGGGGCCACTGTCAGCCTTGGGTCAGGTAGGATTCAGGACAAAGCACTCAACTGGACCCAAGGCCATTCTCCCCTGTACACTGGGGTGGGAACACTCCATTAGGAAGAGCACATTACACACACACACACACACACACACACACACACACACACACACACACACACACACACTTCACAGCAGCTGTGCTTAGAGGGGTCTTCCTGAAACCTCCTGGGCAGATGAGGAAGCGGCTCCTGGAGGCAGGACAGCCTCTGTCTTCTGCCTTTTACCTCCCTGCAGGAGGCTCCTGCCCACCCGACTGCTCTGTACAGAAGGCCTCTGAGGGTGGCTAGACTCCCCCCATGATCCCTGCATGGGGAAAGGGTGTGTAGCCTAGGTGAGGCTGGTGACCAGTTTGGCCTAGTATTTGCCTCTTCAGCTGACGCTTAGCTAGAAGCCTGTGGAACCCATGATGTCTAAAAGCTAGCATTCACCTGCAGCTCCCTCCATGGAGGGGTACTTGGGGACAAGTGACCTGTAGTTTTTAACCCCATTCCTGTCCGTGGTTGCCAACGTTATCCCCCTGGCAACAGACCTGGGGATCCTGTTTCCCTGATATTTGGGGGAGACCTTCCAGCTGGGCATGCTCTTCCCTACACATCTGGGGCTGCCCAGAACATCTGGGAAGGTCTCAGCTGTTCTCTGGAGTCCTGCCCCTGGGCAGGGGAGGCTTAGCACTTGCTGCATTACTCCATCTGTGGTCCATGGTAGAGCCCCTTACTGAGAGGGCAGAGGGAGGCCAGAGCTAGGTCCTGACCTACGGCCTGGCTGCTCCCTCTCTAGGGTTTCTAGGCCTCATTGCAACTCCAGCAGCTACTCATGGCACAGCACCCGACATGGGGACACATGCTTGAGTCTCTCGCAAACCCTTTTGTGATGGAGGGACACAGAATGAAGGGCAGGCCAGGAGCAACAGCAAAGAGCCCTGCGAGGATCTCAGAGCTAAGCAGGACCTCCCTGTGCCTGCCCATGGGACCTCAGATAAAGGGGTGGACCTGGAAGGCAGGAATCCATCCCTAGTTCTGCCCCTTGCCAGCTCTGCCCTTACCAGAAGATCTCAGTTTCATGGATTTGTAAGATAAGGTCGAAGACCACTTCCAAGATAACTGTGCTGGGGAATGGGCCCAAGACCCACGTCCTGATGACGGTCTCTGATTTGTCTGTAGCCACCTCCCAGGAGTCCTACCTGCATCCTCCGCCTCTCCTGACTCGCAGCTCGAGTGCTGGCCAGGTGCTCTGCTTCCAGCCTCTGGAGTGCCTCCTTCTGCAGGACCTGAGCTGCCTGGGCACTGTGCAGTGCACCCTCTGCCCTGCGCTGGCCTGGATGGGTTGGGGGGAAGCAGTGTGGCTTGAGGCTCCCACGCTTGGCAGATCTATGGGGTAACTGCCACTTGCCTGTGCCCCTCCCCAGTTCACAGGCTGCAAGTAGACTGGGTAAACTGAGGCAAGTGTCACCTGGGTGCAGGGCTGGGAGAGGCTCCCCATCTCAGGTGGGGTGCGGGGAGTGGTCCTGGGGCTGACCTTCTGAACGTGGGTCACTGCTCCCTGTGTCTGCCCTGCTTTCTCTACCCTTAATCCTTCTCTTCTTCTTTCCTGGACTTTGGGCCATGTCTCCCACTGCCTTTTTAATGGGGGGCAGTAAGTTTAAAACAGAGGGGGGTGGGGAGAATTAGCAAAGGGCCTCTCTGAGGAGGTGACAAGCAGAGTCATGTGGATTTCTGGAAGGGAGGGTGCCAAGTAGAGGGCACAGCTGCAGCTGGCCCGAGGTAGAACTGCAGGAGGTGGGGGCATGGCCAAATTCAGCAGGTCTCAGAGGTCTCTGGAGTCCACCCCTCTAATGGGAAGGCATCAGTGAGGAAGGTGGCACAGAGCCATCCTGGGCATTGGGCATAGTCCCAGGCCTACCCCAGAGCCCCCCTGAGGCCATACACTAAAAGTGGGCAAGGAAGGGACACGGAAGGGGCCCCCCCTCATGGGAAGGAGAGGTTCACCTTCCTCTGCATCGGCTAGGTCCCTCTGTAGCTGCTCTACACGGCTCTGTAGGTGGATGCGCTCACTCTCTGCCTCGCTCAACCGGCTGCTCAAACTGGCCACCTGGATGCTAGAGTTGTCCTAGGCAGGAAGAAAGAACTCAGCAGGGTGGTCTGGTAGGCAAGAGGGAGGGGGCAAGATATTTACTAGTGAGCTGGGAGGCCAGGCAGGCAGCTTCTGGTCTAGCCCATAACATATGGGGCAGGGTAGTGGGGTGAGGTAGTGGAACCCTACACTGTAGGGAAGCCCAGCCATAGTGGATGGCTGAGCTTACACACTAGCCTGGGAGGGCATAGAGGCTGGAGAAAGGGCAGAGCCTGAAGAACCTAGATTTGGAGCATGGACATAGAGTTGGGGAGCTCCCAGGGGTGGCCATAGGAGGCTGGAGCAGTAGGCTAAGGATTAAAGCTGAGAAACCTGCTCCCAGGTCTAGCACTGCAGGAAGGGGGAGCCCAAAGAGAAGAGACAACCCCTGTGGTCTCTGTGATTATCTGTTTGTCCCAAGGAAATCATAAGGGGACAGCCATTGTGTCCCTGGTGGATTCCTGGGACCAGAGGCATCAGTGAATAGGAGGGGAGGGTGTCCCCCTGTGAGAGACTGTGGGGGAACACTCAGGTGACCTGGCCAGGTGTATAATGCAGTGTCCTCAGACTCTGGAATGCCCCAGCAGGGCGAGCGCCAGGGCATTTGTTGCTGCCTACTCTGAAGGATGGTGTAGTCCTGGGCCATGTGAGGCAGTTGGATTTGAGAGGTGGTGGCATTCCTGCTGTTTATCAGCACAGGGCAGTCTAAAAACCAACCACAGAGTATTTCTCAGGGTCTCAGCAGGCCCAGGAATGGACAGGCAGATGGACAGCAGTCTTGAGTGAGTGACTGAGTTCCTCCCTGCCTCTCAGAGTCTCTGGGGGTATATGCCCACGTGGGTGTAGAAGATCTGAATCCCTCTTTACCCGCTCCTGCTGGGCTTCCTGAAGCTTTTGCACCAAGTCCCTCAGGGCATCCCTTACAGAGGCCACATCTATGATCTGTGAGTCAGGGTCTCCAGGTACAGGTGAGGGCCATCGGGATGGAGAGGAGGATCGAGTAGTGGGGCTGGCCCTTTGCCGTCCAGGGCGAGTCTGGGAGCTGCCTGCAGGAGGTGAAAGCCCAGGGAATGTGGGTAGGGACAGACACATAGATGTCCTGCGCTCTTCTCTCTGCAGCTCCTGCCCTGTAGGAGCGGGTAGCAAGGCTATAGTAAACACAGACTCCTGAAGTTGTTGGCACTGGTCCAGTCTCATTATGTATGTTGTGAGGCCTCAGGAGAGGTTGGGGAACTCAGGTTGGGGACAGAATAGAGTGGAAATCACTGACCTGTTGTGGGAGAACGGGACCTCTCTGGAGAGGCCAAGTGGCTCTGACTCCGGAGCCCTAGGCCACTGCGAAGTGTGGAGCAGAGCCGACCCAGCTGGGCCTCCGCATTGCGCCTAGCGCCCTCAGCCTGGGCCAGCTCCTGCTCCAGGATGTGCACTCGGCTACAGGCATGGTCCAGGCTGGCCTGAAGGCTGTCGGCCTGGCTGCTGGCCTGCTGTAGCTTCCTGGTGAGCTTGCGCAACTCGGCCCGCAGGGTCTGCTCGGCCCTCTGGCTCTCACAGAGCTGCCCCTCCAGCTGCTTTACCTGGGCCTCCCTGGCTGCCTCGACTCCAGCCAACTTCTGCTGTAGCCCTAGAACCTGTAGGAAGGACGCTGGGACTCAAGTGTAGGATTCTGACATCTAGGCTGGCTGGACCAATGGTTCAGCCAGGCCAGTGGGAAACCCTGTTCTGCATACCCTTTGAAGACTCACAGCATCATCCCAAGACAGGCTATAGTTGGAAGGTACCTAGCTCAGTCTCCTAGTGTATTTAGCAGGTGGCTATATCTAAGTCAGGTGAGATCTGCCCCTCAGCATCGTGGCGTATCTTTCAGCAGCAGAGAGCTCTGAAAGATTTTGCAGCTGTCTGCAAAATCTCAGCTAGCTAGGGCCATAGACCGGCTGCCCTCTCCTGCTAGGGACCCATCTCAGCCACTTCTCTTCATCTGCCGCTTCAGAGCCTGGTCATGACCAAAGTGTGCTTTGTTACGTTTCTCACCATGGGACAATACTGTACCCTTTATACGCGTACATGCATGATCAGGGGATGGACAGGCTGTGGGGAAGAGGGAAAGGCAGCCTGCCCCCTTCCCCTGAGCCAGAGCAAGGGGGCCTGGCCCCATCTCCCTTTCTGGGTGGCTGCAGCATAACAATGGCCTTATTCACGGAATGAGGTGTGGGGCTGAGGTCATTCTGGGTCATATGAGCTTGGGAGCTAAGTCCCCACATTCTAGGCATGACTGGTGTTCAAGATGGCCAGGCATGCCATTTGGGTCTGAAAGCTGGGGACTGCTGGGCTCAGAAAGGCCGCTCTGTCCCTGGAGGCATGCAGTACCGTTAGCACACTGAACTACAATTTCGGCTGTGGCTAAACAGTATCTTGGGAGCAGGCGTAGGGGCTATGTGAGTCTGGGACATGGGGGGTATGTGTGCATGGGTTAGGCATGTGTGATGTGGACAGGCAAGGGTCTAGGCATTGACTCAGTGTCCTGAGGTCTCCCGACCTGGCTCCTGCCCAGAATTCTGCCCAGCACCTGGGCAAGATTTGGCTCTTTCCTAAAACAGATCTGGGTAAATTAAGAGGCTACAGCTTAACCAAACCCTTGCCCCCCTCAGATCCCTTTCACTTGCCCCTTGCTGCACATGGTCAGGCTATCACGGGGACAGTGGACAGAGAGAGGAAATGGGCATCTGGCCTCTTTCCACCATCCCTACTCACTGCCTCCTGCCTCCCCCATAGGTGTTCCCAATGACCTTGTCTTGGTCCCCATTTGTACCAGAGCTCAGTGGTTCCCCCTCAGAGGGACAAACAGCCTTCCTACCTCCTTCTGGGCACCGTCGTGGGCAGCCTGGGACTCAGCTACCTGCCTCTGCAGCTCCAGTGCCTGCTGCAGGTTCTTCTGTCGCTGCTGTGCATCCCTGGAGGCTTGGGCCTGCAGCTCACGCACCTCCCGTCTCTTCCTCTGGTTCTCAGCTTCCAATGTCCTTACCTAGAACATGGGGGGCAGTGCCGAGGGGTCAGGGGCCCAGCAGCTCCAATGACCTCTGCCTCCATTTAGGAGCTGTTCACGTTCGAGGGACCTCAGTTCTGGGCAGAGGGTTTGGGATCCAACCTTTCTTACTCTGCAGACATACACCTTGGGCTCCTTTTTGGGTGAATGTGCTGACTGGGGAATATGGGAGGCTTCTGTGAGTTAGTTATGGCTCTCACTGGGGGGGGGGGACCTCTGGCCAGTGTCACTCCACACAAAGAGCGGGGTAGAAACTGGCCCCCAGGGTACCTATGAGGCAGGGACAGGGGAGGGGGACCCGGGACAATCTGGTTGGGTGGAGTCCCCCTCACCTGTCTGTGGCGCTCCTGGAGCTTCCGGCGGGTATCCCCCTGTGCCCGTTCCAACTCCTGCAGCCTGGCCCTCAGCTCACAGGCTTCCTTCTGAGCTGCTACGTGGGCCTCCTGAAGCACCAGCAGCTTTTGCTCCTGCTCCTCCTTGGACCGCTTGAAACTAGGCAGGGCACAGGCTGGCTGGACACTGGGCCCAGAGCTCGGCAGACAGACCCTCCCCAGGGAGGTGCTACTCTCAGAGTGCACCCTCCACACTGCCCTAAGACATAACCTCCGCAGGGCTCCCATTACCTTCGGCTCAGAGGCTATGCAAGTCTTAGTAGCCAGAAACGTGCCCCTGTCCCCTTTCCCCTTTAGCCCACCCTTCCTTACCTCTCTATGACACCCCCAGAGACCCCATGTCTAGCCCACTCACAGGGACTCAGGTTCCCTAGCCTGTTAGGCCTGCTGGATGGGAACTCCTTGAGGACGGGAACAAGTTGGCTTGGTCCCTAGCCTCCTTGGATAGGCTGGCATTTGTAGGCATTTTAATCTGGGTTGTCTTCACTCTCTTTCTGGCCCAGCTCATTGGCTACCCCTGCCGTGCCCTCTCCCTATGGCCTGGTTGAACAGCAGGGCTGCAGGCTCCTCCCGTAACTGCTCTTTAGGGTACCTGTCCTACCGTCCTACCTGGCTTTCTCTTGCTCAGCCCTGTGGATGGTGGCCCGCAGCCTGGTGTTGGAGTGTTGCAGCACATCCTTCTCTTGAGCCTCATCGTCCAGTGCCCGGCGGGCCTCCAAGGCCTCCCTGCGAAGCCCCTCCTGACTCTCCTCCCTGTCCTGAAGCTCTTGGCGCAGTTCAGCCAGCCTTTCATGGGCCATGTTCAGCTGTGCCTGCAGCCCCTCAGCCTAAGGCAGAAATATGCTCCAGTGACCAGCTTGGGGACCATGGGGCTGTGGGTGCACAGGCAGCTGCTCCCGGAACCAGAGGGAGTAGAGGATTCTGACTCTGCCTGAGCATCCCTGGGTCACCCAGCACTTGCAAGAGAAAGCAGGTCCCTCAGGTACAAGGCCCAGATAGTGTTCACCCTGACCCTTCCTGGGGCTGGCTCTGCCCTGTGTTCACTCTGTAGAACTCTGAAATGTGGATTGGTGGTCACCGGGCTTTCCTGGGGCATGGCTTTGTCCATACATCAGCTTCGACTACAGATAACCTTTCCTGCTTGCTAACCCAGGGCCCGCGCCTCCCTTTGGATAACTATGTAGGTAGTGGGTCAGCAGCCTGGTGCCTAACACCAGCATCAATATAGTCCTGAGCTCAACCATCCCCTCCAGCCTCCTTCTCCTAATAGTGTGTGGTGGGGGAGATGGAGTGCAGAGGGAGAGTTCAGGCACCCGTGCCCTTCAAATTCTCCAGTAGACTCAGGGCTTCTCAGGCCAGGCTGCTCTATGAAGCAGGAGGCTATAAGCATCATAGGAGTCTTCAAGGCAGGGCTCAACCCATAGGAGCATGGATACACTCAGACATGAGGGTGACCACTTAGTACCTCTGTGAGCTGACCCAGGGAAGGCAAGGGGCCATGGATGTAAGTTCCCATCTCCTGCTGGCTGGCCCATGGTCCAGAGGGTGACCCTATCATGCCGGAAGCAGGGGTAGTGCCTGCACACTGCAGGGGTACCGAGTCCTGGTTTCCTGCCTTGGAGCATGAAGCATCTCTGGGCATCCAGGTTCTACATGGAAGGGTCTGGAGGAGGGCAAACCCACTCTCAACTCCCAGGCTATGGGGTAGGGACTTTCTGAGGCCTCTCAACCTACAACTCTGACCAGAAGCATCAGAGGAGGCTCCATTCTGGCTCTCAAGTGTCCCTGGGGAGGAGGTGGAGGAAGCCAGCAGGGACATGTTGAGAGAGGAAGCCACAAGAACTCAGTGATGTTGAGTGGCTGGTTTGCCAAAAGCAAACCCCTCTCTGCTAGCTGTTTTCACGGGACATTGTCCAGGCCCCCGGCCGGCCTGGCTCCAGAGTCCGCCCGCTGTTATTGTTGTTCTGTTTTTGGGAAGGGCCAGGGCCTCCCCACTGCTCCCCACCCCCCACCCCCCACATGTGGGAGCCACAACCGTGCCGAGCATTTTCCGCTGAGCTCAGCAGAATCCACCCAGAAGGTCAAGGACCAGGGAAAGGGCCTGTCCATCATAAAAGGAGCTGTACTCATTTCCCGGAGTAGGGGAGATGAAAATAAGCAAAACAAATGGGGGAAGGGCCCCCCTGCCGCCAGGCCACCCCCTCCCTCGCTGTCCAGCACCCCCACTCGCCGCCTCCTGAGGACAACCATCCCTTTTGCAGGAATTTTACAGCCAAATCGCTTAATGTGATTATAATAATTATTTCTTTACTAGAAGTTGTATAAACAGTCTCTTTTGAAATTTCCTGCAGGGAGGCAACTCCAGAGCTCTGCGGGGAGGAGGGCAGCAAGGCAAGCAGGGGAGAGGTGGCAGTGGGGTAGCCTGTGTGTGCATACATGCATGCATGCATGCATGCATGAATGAGGGTATTCATGTGTGCTTTGGTGCACACCCAAAGGACAGGTGTGCATGCATATAAATGTATGCTTACACATACACGGTAGGTATGCTTCTAAGTGTACATGTGTGTTTGCTGTTCATCTTCATGCACATGTATATGTTTTTCGATGTTTGTATGTGCTTTCATATGGGAGCCCCGCGTGTGTGAACAAATGCATTGGGTGTGCATATGCATATTACTTAGTGTGCACGTACCACTTAGTGTGTATCTGTGTTCATAGATGTGTGTTGTCTTAAGTTGCACAAGATGTGCACAAATGTGCATACAAATGGGAGGCATCAACATGTAGGTTTACCTGTGTGTGTGTGTGTGTGTGTGTGTGTGTGTGTGTGTTTACATGTGTGTGAACCCCAAGAAGGTCTGTGGGAACATGCTAGTTCCTCCAGTTGAAAGTGGGGACATTATGCACCAACCTGGCACCTGGGACGCTCTTCTGCAATTATTTCTTTTTTCCACCCCATCCCCCCACCTTTTCAGACTCCCATCACCCCTTATCACTTTCTGGGGGGCTTCCTTACTGAAAACTTGACCTTGCTGTGAGGTTCTTATCCTTCCTCTGACCAGAACAAAGGGGCCCCCTCCCCAGATTCTTCTCTTTCTGCCCCTAGTTTTGAAATTACACTTTGCTTCTCCATGTGGCCGCTGACCAGGCCTCGGCTTTGAAATCTGTTGGAAGGAGCCCGTTCTCTTTGGGGCCAATATAAACAGCCCGTCATGTTCAGTCATGCTCTCTTCCTCTCCCGGGCTCTTGGCCGGCCCCTTGGGGTGTGCTTGGGGAGGGAGAGCCCCTCTCCTCACCACACCAGGCCAGCTGCCCTGCCTGCCAGCCTTGGCACACAGCCCAGAAGCTGTGAAGCTGCTTTGTCCCCACAGGCCCCACCTGGGTTCTGGCTGACCCCCGCCCCCATCCTCAATCCACATACCCTCCTGCCCTTGCCTCTCCCAGGCTCCCCCAAGTCCTGTCAGAACTCCTCAGAAACACCTTTCCATCTGCTTGCCTGCTGGGCCCCTGCCTGGCCTCGCCCTGGCCTCTTCTAGCCCCGCCCAAGACTGTCCCCCACCCTGTTGTGGCCATGTGGTTCCTGGAGCCTCTGTGTGAGCATCAGGGCCCATGACTGTCCCTGAAAAATCCCACCACCATCCCACTTCTCCTGCCTTTCTGCCTTGGGAACCCTAAACTCAGCTTCACTCCACCCCAGCACCCCATCCAACGTAGAGTCTAGGCCTCTAGTGCAGGCAGAGCCTACCTCCCTGGGGGCTCCCCGTGGCTTGTTAGGTGACAGATTTTTAGATAGACTCTTCTCACGGCTGTGTCACAGTGGCCTCTCAGGCCGGCTTTGGGAGGAGGCTATAGCCACCATACAATGACAGCTCCCTGTATCTGAGTCCCAGTCTCTGAACTGTGTGGAAGCGTAGGTTAGGCTGGGGTGACCCTGGGGAGCCCCTGGGGAGCCTCTGGAGCCTGTGCCATGGTTTTGATCAATTGTCCAGGGCTAGTGTCCCTGGGTAGCCAGCCTCTGACTGTCCCAACAGGACCACAGATGCTCTGTGGTCTTCCTGGGAAGAGGCAGGGCCCGTGGTAGCCATGACTGGGCCTCACAGCTACCTGTAGCAAACCACAGCATCTCTGCTTTCCCTCAACAGTGGCTTCTGTCCTCTCAAGCCTCTCACAGCCAAATCTATCACTTTGGGCTAGAAAAAAAACCTTCTTCTACGAGGCCATGGTCAGCTTTCCCCAGCTGATGCCAGGAGCCAGGTACCATTTCACCCCTCTGAGAGATGCCACTGGTTGCCGAACCAAATGGGTCTGTCCGTTTGACTCTTGCTGGTCTTGTGGCACCCTCCTCTCTGGGCATCCTGACTCTCCCAGTACCCTCTTCACTGTACTCGAGAGGCCCACCTCCTCACCTCTCTCCTCACACGGCTCCGCTCGGCTGCTATCTCTCGGAGCTTCTCTCTCAGAGTTTCAGCTTCTCTCTGGTGGGTGGAGATGGCCTCCTCAAACTGGACCTGGAGAGTTCTCAGCTCTGTGGTCATGGTGGTGATGGTGGCCTGGAGATACAAAGACCCCTGGAGGCTGGTCTGAGGCCTGACGGCCAGGTCATGAGAGGAAAGAAGCATCGTGGGATGAATGCTCCCCATGAAAGGGAGCTTGGGCTCTGAAGTCCCATGCCCATGTCTCTTCGCTTTCCTTCTGGGGTTCCCGAGCCATCAGATCATGGCAAGTGAGTGGGCATGGCCTGGTTGGGGAGTTTCAGGTGTCCTTTTTCTGCCTTACATTCCTGTTTAGCCCACTTTATATAGAGAGGGGACGGGAACAGCTGCTTAGCAGGTCCGGCCCTCAATGGCACTAGCACGTGGGCTACCTGGCCAAGCAATGGATCTGGGGCTAACCATCTACCCCAGTGAAACTTTTTGGTCACTCAGGTCACCCAGGTCTGCTTGGACTTAGGGCATTCTGAGCCCTTGGCTCTGAGACCTGCAGCATCCACTATAGTCAATGTTGAGTCAGTGTTGGGTGAAGAGGCTGAAATCCCAGTGGAGGGATGTGGTGAGGGGCCGGACACTGCTCACCACATACGTCCTGTCCACCCGGCACCCAGTTTCCTGACCTTTCCAATGGGTAGGTGGCAGGAGGGGACACCTACCTTCCTGCCATCTACAAATACACGTGCCCCAGTCACATATGCAGAATGCTGCCATCCCTGCTGGGCAGTAGGACAGTGCCGTGAACTAGGTGCAGCCCAGGTCTGCTGTCCTGTTACACCACAGCCTGTTCCCGTCTCTCCAGGGGTCTGTTAACTACTGAGCACCCAAAGGAGGTCCTCTAGGCACCAGCTCCCGGGTTCAGTCTGAAGCACTTGCTTGTCCACAGACAAAGATGTTACTATCCGCACCGCGATGAGGCCCAGCGCGGTCTCCTGTTAGGACTCTTCCCCACTCACTCTGGGCCCCAGCCCAGGCCTCGTGTGGTTCTTTCCCACGACTGTAAGGTCCTCAGCATTTGGAAGAACACACTCTTCTCCCGTAATAGGCTACTGTGTCTGGGAGGCTGGGGACCATCTAGGCGAAGAGTTGGGCCCCGGGTGGTGTCAGGGTCCCTCTAGAGACTGCATTGCTACAGAGGGGCCAGTGCAATGCAGAGACCCCACTCCCACACCTGCATTCTGCAGGCCTCCATCGGGGGTTACAGCTGGATCGAGGCTCCCATCAGCCCCACCTCTTGCTCTGACCCTTGGCCGCTGCTCTCCTTCTCAATGGGCACGAGTCACCCAGGATGGCCAGGTCATGGCTTTGTGCCCACAGGGTCCAGAATTGCTTGCTCAGGGAGGCTGCAGTTTTCTGTGAATCTTGGGGACCAGCTCCTGGAGGCAGTGGTGACTCAGGCCAGCAGGCCCCTCCACCCGTCGGTGGCTCGGTCCCATGTCACCCCACAGCTGGGGTTCCTTGGCTGTACTTCCTCTCTCTCAGCGGGTTTTAATTTCCATTTTCTAAGCTGAGGTGGCAAAAGAACCCTTAATGAGCTCCCCGAGGAGCCGTGCTGGCTGGAAGGCCTGGTCCTTAGCCCAGGGGGAGATTTGGCCAGCATGAGAGAAAGCTCCAGAAGCCAGTGCTGGCTCCTGCAGAGGCTGGTCTGTGAGCAGGAGGTGCCAGCTCCCAGGGTCTCAGGATGAGACTGGTAAGGCTGCGTTGTGGAGAGAAGGGCATAGCCATAGACTGAGACCCCTCCAGGCCTGTGCCAGGGAAGTGCTGTCCAGCCCTGGTGAGCGGCTGTGGGTGAGAGAAGACAGAGCAGGATGGATAGGAGCAAGGGGGAGCTTCTGGAGCCTGGGTACCACTTAGGTTTCCCTATTCTGTGATGTGGAGTCAGAGTTTATGTATTGGGGGGGGGGGTCATACCTTATTGCCATACCACCTCCTACGACACAGCACTGGGGACCAGCCCCTGTCTACTTCTATCTGAATCACCAGGACGCCCTCCCCCAGGGCCTGCCACCTCTGCACACCTGCCTCTCACTCCAGCTGGGTGGTCTTCTCTCACTCCCCAGGTGGGCAACAAGAACAGATCTCCAAGAGTCAAAGACCAGCCACAGGGACAGCCTCAGCTCCTCCTCTGGAGGCCGTCTCCAACAGTAAGACAGGAGCAGTTGTATGCCTGCTCACAACTGGATTTACTAGAACTAGCCTGAGCACAGGCAGGCAAGGCTGGCGCTATACGGATCAGAACGTGGGACACAGGCCTGGGTCTACCCCTCTCCTGGCTGTTGATATTCAGTATATGGTCCAGCCTGGCCCTTCTGTCAGTCTTGATCAACTCTGATTCCCAGGAGCACCAGCCTGGAAGAGTCCCAGTGCCCGTAGCCACCCCAGGCAGGGGCCGAGGCATAGACAGCCACAATCACTTGGCTATTCCTGCCTTTGAGATAGCAGCTTCTTCCAGCAGGAAGCTTGGAGGCCCCAGGGGGACATCAGACTCAGGAAGACACAGAGGGTACTATATACTTCTAGGACCAGACAGAAAGGGGGTATCCTGGGGGCTCTGCCGGGACTTGCTTGGCCATACATGACCAGGCTGGGAACTGTCAGTGGGGCTCACCTCAGCTTGCGCTTGCTGGTTCTGGGCCTCTTGACGGGTCCGTTCCAGCTCCTTATTGGCCCCAGAGAGCTCCTTGCTCAGCAGGTTCTTCTCTGCTTCCTTCAGAGACATTGCCTGCACATGAGGAGACAGAGTGCTCGTGAGGCAGCTGAGGAGCTGGGGAGCTGAGTGGAAGTGCGGCTCCCTCTCCGAGGCACAGCAGAATGCTCCATGTTGAATTTCCTGCCAGGCTTACCAGCTTTTCTTTGCACACCCAGCCACTGGGCAGGGGGTGGTTCTGAGCTCAAGCCTTTCCTGGTAACATACTCCTTCGTCCTACTCTTCCCCTTCGGGTGTTCAGCAACCCTTCATGCCATTCCCATCCTTCCCTGGCCCTGGTTCTCACCGGGCAGGCTGGTGTTTCATGATTCCCTATCCTCCTAGGCACTGCTTCCTACGGTGATCAGGAAGAAGCCACTGATGGCACTGTACCCCAAGGATGTCTGTCTCACCAAGGGTGTGAGCGGGACACAGCAGCCAGACTCGGGGAGACCCAGCTCCCAGAGTGGCGGGGCAGGAAACAGACTTCAATCATGTCCCAGTCGTACCATAGATCATGCCAGCCAGGGAAGCCCCCAGAGCCTTGGACACCAGCTCAGGGAGAGTCCTGGCTGGTGAATACAGACAGGCGAGGGGTGTGATGGGCCAGTCCCACCGGGAGCTGAAATCAAACTGGTTCTCTGACTTGTCCTGGTTATGTCTGAGGTAAACTACGGCAGCAAGCACAGCGCCTTCCTGGCATTCCAGTCCTTCTGCTGAATCCCTAGTTGAGGGTCATAGCACTTCCTACACTTGTAACCACTCTGGTCAGGATGGGTGGTTAGCTTCCAGCCACTACACTTCTAATCTGTGGGGTCTGCACTCATTCCTGGCAGCTAGGATGGGTTGCATTGCTGAGGAATTTAAAAATGACAGTAGTCCCCGAGGAAGAGGTGGCGAGAACCCCATTCTCCATGTTTTGAAGAATTAAAAAACAAAGAAAACCAACCAAACAACCCGGTGCTCCTCACATAGCCTCTGCCTGCCAGAACCCAAGCTTGCTTGCTTCTGCCTCATTCTGGTAACCTGCCCACCCCTGGCTGTGAGACCTTGGAGGCCTGGGATCTTGATCTGCCTTCTTGAATTTCTCACTAAGGGGCAAAGCAAGAGTAGTCAGTGTCTTGTTCCGTTGAGACTCAGTCCACACAGACTCTCTTATTGCCTGAGGCCTCCCGAAGACTGCCTTCTGGTTTAAACTGTCAGCTTCCTCCAGGAGGTATGGCATGCGAGATCTGCCGCCCGATCTTCCCCATCTGGCACCATTGACATGATTGGCAGCAGATAGTGCAGGCAGAGGGCCAGGGAAAGTCCACTGGCTGCTGCGGTGACCATTGCCCACATGCCTGGCTTTCTGTATTATAGCCCGGGAGCACAATGTTATTGTGGTCATGTTGTGGGCAGGGAAACCATCTTCTCAGCCTGTTCTGCTCTTACTGACTCTCCTTTCTTGGGACTCTTTGTGAAACCAGGAAGCTGCAGTCAGATGAGAATAGGTGGGTGTGGCCTGGTGGGTGGTCTCAGATGGCAGGCAGTGAGGGACTGCATAGGGCCTTACCACTGCCCATGCCCCAGGTAAGTTGTTTCTATGAGCATCTTCTCATACACCCATGGGGGTGATGTCACTGTGTTCCAAGTGTCTCGGGATCCCCCACAGCTGCACCCTCAGCTTCAAGCTCTCTCTGTTCTCCCTGACTCCAGCCTCATTACCCCAGTCGTGTTACTCCTGCTTGGAACAGCCCTGTTTTCCTTACTTGAACCTGGTGTGTAGGACCTTCAAGGCTCCTCTGAGGTCCTTACCATTCAGCTCACACAGATTCTGGTGGCCACACTGACACATGCATCCCAGATATCCCTGAATGCTCTCTTCCCAGTCTCTTGCTCCCATCTCAACACCCTGCTCCTCTTGCAAGGCCTTAGCTTCCTCCAGTACAGGCCACAGTTAAAATCACGGCTCCCATGCCCAGACCGTACACTGTGCAGCTTCGGACAGGAGACCAACTTCTTAATTTCCTACCAGTCAAATAGGCCTATAAGGCTTGTGCCCTAGAATGTTGACAGTCAATTAGAAACAGTCTGGTCACAAACCCTGCCTCTTCCAGCCACCCACATCCTCTCCTTGCAATCTGTGACTGGTGCAGAGAGGTTATTGCCCTTGCTGACGTGGTGGCATGCTTGTGTGTGTGTACTTTTCTGCTCAATTCACTAAGCAATAGACTCCTTAGGATGGCCCAGTTCCTTGGGGAAGCCTGGGCTCAAGGGTAACCTTTCAGACCTAGTATCTAGACCTGTAGGATGGAAGAATGGCCAGGTTGGATGAGCACTATGTGGCTGGACCTTGCAGATGATAGGGTGACTGGCTGATCAGGTGAGTGAGTTGACAGACACATGGATGAATAGTTGGGTACATGGGTAGGTAGCTGAATGTATGGCTAGCTGGAAGGGCACCTCAGTGGGTAGACAAGTGGATGGCCAGGTAACTTAATGGATGGACGGTCAGCTGTGTGGATGGATAGCTGGGCATATTTCTGGATGGCCATGTACGTGAGTAGAAACCGGGGAGCGTAGAAAGGAAGATGTACAGCCAAGTAAGGAGAAGGAAGATGGCTGAGCGGAAAGACATTCAAGTGCATGGATGGGCAGGTGGGTGGAAAGAAAGATATAATGTATAGATGTGTGTGTGTGTGTGTGTGTGTGTGTGTGTGTGTGTGTGTGTGTGTGTGTGTGTGTAAAGGGGTGGTTAGATGATGTATGAATGTGTGGATGGATGGTTGGTATATGGGCATGTGGATGAATAGACGGGTGTGTAGATGGATGGATGAGTAGATGGGTAGATGTCTGTTCGGCAGGATTCCTGTGGCAGCACAAAGCTGTATCAATCTGGAAAGGATGCACCTGCTTGGGGGAGGCTTCAGCGCAGCCCTTGTGCTGGGACCAAGAAGCGTGAGGTGGGCGAGGCTCCCAGTTCCCATGCCATCATCACCTGCTGCATCTCGTGCTCCAGCTGGAGGAGGCTCTCGTCCCGCTCCTGCTTCAGGCTCTGAATTTCCCCCTCCAGAGCCTCCCTCTCGGCTGTGCCTCTTGTCACCAGCTCTTTCTGCCGTTCCATCCACTGGGCAGCCACCTCCTTCTCCTCTGCCAGGGATAAACTGAGGGTCTCCTGGCCAAGGCGAAGGATAGGCTGTGAGGTCGGGGCTGGGTGACTGGTAGGCACTTGAGGCTCGGGGTTAAACCTCTGCAGCTGGGCCAGGTCCTCTCTGTGGGCCAGCGCCTTCCCGGACTTCTTAAACTGTGGAGAGCGGCCAGGTCCCTCCCCCTGCTCCTCCATCTCTGCTTGTTGGGAGGACATGGCAGACCAGTGGCCAAGTGGGCCCTCGGGAGCTAGGCTGGTGGTCCAGCATCAGCTCTCCCTTTGTCTTCTCTACAAGATCCCCCAGACAGAAGCTGGGAAGGGTCTCTCTGGGTGTCAGCATCTACCATCCCATAATAATCTAGCAGATCTTAAGCTGTTCCTGAATCTCTACCAAGTGCCACTGGTACAGGGGCATGGACATAAGGAGGGATGAGTATACAGATAGGTAGATGGATGGATGGATGGATAACAGGCAGGTTGGATATACATATAGATGGAGGGATGGCTAGATGGATGAATGGATATACATATAGATGGAGGTATGGACAGATGGATGTGTGTTTGGAGGGATGTGTGGATAGACAGATGGGTGTGTGTCTATATGGATGAGTAAATGTGTGGATAGATGGACAGATGGATGGATGAATGGATGGAGGGATCGATGTGTGAGTGGAAGAATGGGATGGAACACACAAGGCCTCCAGGGCCACATGACTCTGGTGGTACAGCTCTGACAGGCACGAGACTCTGTTTGTTCAGCAAGGGTAGCGAATCTTCAGGATTGGTCCCTTCTGTGAGCAAGGGCCTGCCCTGCACATCAGCTGCCCCTCCCCCATACTGCACCAGGCCTTCCCGGACTTCTTAAACTATGGAGAGCGGCCAGGTCCCTCCCCCTACCCCTCCATCTCTGCTTGTTGGGAGGACATGGCAGACCGGTGGCCAAGTGGGCCCTCGGGAGACAGACCTTCTCCCTCTGTAGCCGGGCCAGGTCCTCTCTGTGGGCCAGCGCCTGGCGCTCCAAGGCCAGCTGTGCCTCCTGCTCCTGCTGTGTGGCCTGCTGCCGCAGCTGTCCCAGATCCCACCGCAGCTTCGTCTCTCGGACTTCCCAGTCACTTTTCAGCCGCTCCATTTCCACTGTGAAGGGGCAGGTGTGTCACCACAGCGCCCTCTGTCCTTTGAAATTGCCCACTTAAGAGGCCGTTGCCTGCTCTGCTAGCACATGGCGGGTAGGCCAAGTGGGGACACGGATACTGGGAATGGGTACAGGGCAGGAAGCCCCTGTACCAACCCTGTGGCTGCACCTCAGGTCTGAGCTCAGAGTTGGCCACAGAACAGGATGGGCCAGGCATCCCCCTGTACATCACTCACAGTCACACAAGCTCCAAATCCCCGGGTCTTCCCCTACAGGGTGGTCCAGGGAGGGAGAACAACACCTATAAGGACTGAGTTCACCCCAACAGTGACTTGTGAGTAGGGACAGGGAGAGTCTACCTAGTACAGCACCTTGCAAAGCCCTGCGAGCGAGCTGAGCAGCCTGGGCCTCCCCTTCCAGCTGCTCCTGCTGGGTCTGCAGCTGAGTTGTTAGCTGTTGGGCCTCCAAGAGGCCGTTCTCCAGAGAGTCCCTCTCAGCCCTGTGGAGAAGCATCGGACAGCAGACATATCATAACCCACGTGGTCCCGCGGCGTCTCACGGTTTGAACGTGTAAGAATCAGTTGTACCCTACACAAAAACACGTTTCAGGCCGAATGAAAAACCAAATCCAGAAACAAAACAAAACAAACAAGCCATAGCAGAATAACTCAGAATTGTAAAATGGAACAGATGCAGAGGGTGTTTTAATCTTCTTAAGCTCGACACGAAAGTCAGAATAAAAATAAAATAAAGAGGCCAACAGATCTGGATATACTTAAAGGAGGGAGGGATAGTTTTCCATAGAAGAGATTCCATAAATCAAGTTGGAAGGAAAGGGCAGGTAATGAAACCCATCACTTTGTCTGCTAACTTAAGAAACTGATCTTTAAAAATTATAAAAAAATAAGATGACAAGGCGCAGAATTGGAAGAAAATCTGGTTTAGTATATAAACATAGGGGTAAGCATCCCTCATATGTAAAGAGTTCCTGCCAATCATTAACAAAATCAGCAAATGAGAAAAGTAACAGTTACAAAGAAAACATCAAATAGACAAAAGCACACAAAGTGTACTTTACCTTACCTGGAGAGATCAGGGCCCAGGGAGATTCTAACCACAGCCAGGCTGTATCATTAATCATACACCAGATTAGCAAAGGATTAAAAGCAATCATGTCTAGTGTTAGTGAGAGAGTGGAGGGGGAGACTAAGTGTGCTGACTTTGCCCTGGCAAGACCACACCCAGGTGCCAACTCTAGAGACACCTCACAGCCAGGGACAGGATGCTCACTATGGCTTTATGCGGGGTGTTAGCTGGAATGCCAAAAAAAAAAAAAAAATGGGAAAATGTTGCAGACATCATGGTGCATCTAATGTATGCAGCAACATGCACTTGGCAAGGGAGGAGTCACCCACAGAACCACCACCAGAGCTGGAGTGCTGCAGGCAGTGTGACTCCACTGCGGGAAAAGGAGCCCAGACGCATTTGCACGCAGAGGTCATCATTCAGAAAATACATGGAGCGAGGTATACCAACCCACAACTTCCGGGGTTCTTGTGGGGGTAACTGAAAACAGCTTGACTTGCTGACCATAAGTGACCTACCAACCCAGCCCACCAGCATGAGTTGTCACTGAGCTGTGATTCCACCACGACACTCCAATTTAATGTCCTCATAATGCAGCATCAAGGTTTGTTCTCAGTGGGTGAGGGAAGCCATGGCCCTTCAGTCTGACAGTCTCACCACAGCTCCTGGGTTGTCCTGTAGAGCGCCAGAAGCCTGCCAGGACCTCCTGATGTGTGAGGGAAAGGTCCTCTGGGCCCAGACTACAAGCTCTAGAAGCCTCACCACCCGCCACACCACACCCTGTCCCTCTTGTTAACTACGCATTTCCTGCTCCGAGAGTGAACATGTCGTCTGCCAGAGTGTTCTTCCCAGTTGTGAACGGAGAACATTCTTCCGTTAGCTGCTTTGAAGCCTTCCTCCTAGAACTGTGACCGGTTTTGTCTAGGGGACATGGCCTCTGACCCTCTGGTGTCTGCTCACAGCCTGGGGACCTGAGAATGTGTCCAATCTCTTCTTCCACAGAGGCATCTCACTGGGTTTGAGCTCGAGGGTAGAAGCCTGGTATCACACAATGGGTCAGCTGCAGCATGAGGTGTAGGTGGGAGCCTGGCCCATCCTCCCGATGAGCGGCCAGCACTCCATGAATGGAGAGAGGTATGGTTCAGGCAAGCCGCCGCCGGCAGCCCTGCCACCAAGGCTTTAGCTGGTCGTCATGGTACACTGATGGTTCTTCAGGGCTGCCCGGTGCAATGGCTCTGGGTCCAGAGGTCGAGGCTGGAGCCGGGGAGTGTGGGAGTGGGATCCTACCCATGGAGGGCTCTCACCAGATTCACATTAACCAGGCTCACATTCTGGGCAGCATATGTTTCCAGGGATGAGGACTCTTGTCCACCTGGGAAGCCTCCCCAAAACATGCCATTTGGATGTCTGCACCAGCTTTTATTCAGAAAGTTCAGTTTTGACAAGTTGAAAAGCTGGGTCCCTCTAGTTCCCTATGGCCCTAGTTTCTGGAGTTCTGGGAGGAACTCCTCCAGGAAGCCCTCCATGACTGAGTAGGCTCTGGGAAGAGAAAGCACCAACCAGCCTTGGGTCTCTGCAAAGGCCTTGGGACCAGGCTAAGCTACCACTGTTCACGCCTCCGCATTCCCACTCCAAGTTCTGGATGCTGTCCTGTTGGTTGTGGGGGTTCCCTCACCTCCACTGTCAAGACCATCGTTCCCTGGGTAGACCCTACGCCAGGCTGCACAGCTTTGTGCCTCTGGCTCCTAGGACTGCTAGGGAACAACCACTGGGCAGAAGTTTCAGATGGGCTCTCTTGCTACCTCTAGGTATCTCTCTGGGAATGAAATCTCAAAGCCACTCAGCAGAAGGAAGCAGGAGGGGGGGGCGGGGATCTCTGGGGTTGTAGAAGCTTCCAGACACAGGCAACCTGAAGCTCCACCCTGAACTCCTCATTCTTCAGGAAGAAAGTGCATATCTTTCTTTGGCTGGGCTGAGCTGAGTTTCTGGTCTCACAGGGTTGCCCCCCTGTCTTTAGGAAGCTGACCCCAGGGCACCCCATCTAATACTGAACCACCTCAAAGGCACAATGTCTCCTCTCTATACAGGCCCATAACACCAATGCTGACAGCAGACATACCCTGCCCTACGCCACTGTGTCAATATCGCGCCCCTGCAGTCATAACCCCACGGGCTGTCTGAAGGCAGGATCATGAGTCAGGGCACACCTCAGATCTGCTGCCTCCTTAGTCACAAGCTCACGATGTCTCTCCAGGGCTTCCTGCTTAGCCAGTAGTTGGGTCCGCTCCTCCGACAGAGTGTTCTTCTCGTGGAGAGCTTCCTGAAGGATGTCCATCTGGGCCTCCTGGTCCTGCAGGCTCTGCGCCAGCTGCTTCTCCAGGGCCTGCTTCTTGCATGTGACCTAGGGGAGGAAGAGGGACCATCGGACAACGGAAAGAGAGTGAGCAAATGGGAAGAGGCTGCTGAGGGTAAGGGAGGCATGGGAAGAAGATGGCATGGAGGTGACAGGAGACACAGTAGGCTGACATAAGAGGAGGCATCAACACTCATAAACTCATGGATGGACTTTCCAGTAGAGGGGATGGCCACTCTGAAATCTTGGAGGACGTGTGATAGAAATGGGTGTTTCTAGGGAGGAGCCAACTGTCCATCTCCCTGGCAACCTTTGCTAGACTTTGAGTGCCCAGGGAGCTGGACATGTGGCACAGGGGTGCAGATGCAGCACAGGGCACAGTCTAGTGTTTCCACCAGTAGCCTCAACAGGGTCTGGACAAGGCCTCTGGGAGCCCTAGGGCTGCAGAAGCAGCAAGGACTGGAGCAGCTGAGCTCCTGGAGCAGGAACAGCCCCTTGGGCCTCTTCTCTCCTCAAGACATTTGCTGCTTTGTAGTCTGGGCTGGGAAGATCCTGAGGAATTCACAGTTACCAGGAACACCGTAAGTCTGATTTTGTTCCATTGTCCACAGAGGGCTTGACTCGAGTCATCGCTGTGAGCCAACTATGGGCCGGGCACTCCTGCAGACTGAAGCTTGGGAGAGACACTTAGGAGGCAAGACCTAGCGAGAGGAAAAGGTCACTAGGAACAGGCCCTTAGGGGATCCTGTCCCTTTCTCGTCATTATCTCCCTGCTCCCTGTCCTCTATGAGCTGAACTGTCACTGCTTCCTTCTCCTTTTCCTCTTCCCTATTTTTAAGACACCGTGGTATTTTGTCTCAAAACTGGCCCAGAAATATGGGGCCAAATGACCATGGCCTGAACCCCCTTGAAATCATAATCCCAAATGCAAGGTCCTCTTAAATGTCTTTGTCACTCTTTTATTGCTATGAAGGGACATCATAACCAAGTCAGCTCTTATAAAAGAAAACATTTAACAGGGGGCTCGCTTAAAGTTTCAGAGGCTTAGTCTATTATCATCATGGCAGGAGCATGTGACCCTCATGGCGCTGAAGTAGCTGAGGGCTACATCCTGATCCACAGGCGGGGGGCGGGGCGGGGGAAGGTGCTGTGGGCTTTTGAAACTTCAAAGCCCACCTCCAATGACTCACTTCCTCCAACAAGGCCACACCTCCTAATCCTTCTAATCCTTTCAAACAGTTCCACTCCCTGGCAACTGAACATTCACATATATGAGCTTATGGAGTCCATTCTCATTCAAACCACCATGATTAATATGTCAGATGTTTTGCCACAGTGACAGGAACGTAACTCACCCAGCAAGGCAACCCAAACATGAGAGTCCCTTTCAAGCAGGACCTGGGCAAGTGAAGCTTAGCATGAAGGACAGCAAGTGTTAGTTTCCACGCTGTCCTGCCCACCTGTGCTTCTCACACTCTGACGGGTATCAGAGTCAGCTGGAGGCTAACTGAACTCCATATTTGAAAGTCCTCCTGAGGGAGTGTCTGACTCAGTGGATCAAGAATTTGCATTGTTGCACACTTAGAAATCCATGTGAAATTGATATGAGATGTACTGAAGACCTCACCCAGGCACATGAAAACACAGAAGGCTAACTTTTTGTTCTTGGGCAAACTTCAGGACCTAGGAAATACTGATCAGAAGAATAAAAAAAAAAAAAAAAAAAAAAAGAAAGCCTGGCCTGGGTGTCCATGCATATAATCCCAGCAGACGGGGAGATGAAGGCAGGAGGGTTGCTACAAATTTGAAGCCAGGGTGGGCCACATAGTGAGAGTTTCAGGATGCTGTCTCAAAATCAAATCAAACCAAACCCAAACGAGTCTACCACAACAAAATAAAGCAATGATTAAAAATGTAAAAAAAATTTGTCCAAGTTAAAATTCTATGTTCTGCAAAAAATACTATTAAGAAAATCAAGCTGGGTGGTGGTGGTGCATGCTTTTAATCCCAATATTCAGGAGGCAGAGGCAGGCGGATCTCTGAGTTTGAGGCCAACCTGGTCTACAGAGAGAGTTCCAGGACAGCCAGGGCTACACAGATGAAAGAAAGAAAGAAAGAAAGAAAGAAAGGAAGGAAGGAAGGAAGGAAGGAAGGAAGGAAGGAAGGAAGGAAGGAAGAAAAAAAGGAAAGAAAGAAAGAAAGAAAGAAAGAAAGAAAGAAAGAAAGAAAGAAAATGGAAAGATAAGACACTACTTGGGGAAAGCATTCACAGTACATCTAGCTGACAAAGTACTTGTATCTATACATATAAAAAACTCCTACATAGACCAAAACACAAAATCCACATTTACAAAACACACGAAATCCTAAAAAGGACACAAATTCAACAGGCTCATGAAAATGTGCCAACATCATCACTAGTTACCTTGGAAACAGGAATCAAAGCCTAGTACATAGAACATCACACAGAGAATAGCTTAAAAAGTAAAACAGATGATATCAAATGCTGACAAGGCTAAGGAGCAGCTGAAATGACAGAACCACTTCTGAATTCACCACACTCCTTCACAACGACTCCCATAATTTTACTCTTTGTATTTGCTCAAGAACAGTGAGAAGTGAGTATACAAAGGTTTTTAGGAGCCTTATGTATTACTGCCCAAGCCAGAAACGGCACAGGTGTTCAGAAACAGTGAGGAAGTAGCTGTGTTTATTCCTACCATGGCATGTAGTCACGTGCAAAAGCAAAGAGCTATGTTACATGTACCTACATGGATGAGTCTTAAAGAGTATGTGGAGAGCTGGGCGGTGGTGGTGGTGCATACCTTTAATCCCAGCACTTGGGAGGCAGAGCCAGGTAGATCTCTGTGAGTTCAAGTCTAGCCTAGTTTATAGAATGAGATCCAGGACAGGCACCAAAACTACACAGAGAAAGCCTGTCTCGAGAAAAAAAAAGTGTGTGGAGAGAGAGAAGCTTGGTGCAAGTGATCCACCCAACCAGTGCAGGGTGCTCCATGTTGGAACAGAGGCTCCTGGGGCCTTAGGCATTTGAGAAAGAAATGGGTGGGCTACGAGGGAAGCTTCTGGACATATTCTCTGTCTTGACTGGTCATCCACAAGGGCACACCACTGTCAACTCATTGTCCTGCCTGTCACCAACACTGGACACTGATTGTATCTTAACAAAAATGGGGATCATGATGGCAAGAATAGGGGCCTGAGGATGGAGAGAGGTCACACTGTCCCACATGAAACAAGGGTGCCTGTATGTCACCAGAGGTCTGAGACCCACCAGAGACATGGTTTCCACACAAGACACATTGTCAAAGACCAACCAAACGGCTTCAGACTCAGTCCACACTGAGTGATTCTTTTGTAGCTCAGTGGGAAGCACAAGAATCTGAGTTCAACCCCAGAACCCATGTTTTAAAAAAAAAATCTGGGCATGGTAGTGTGCTTTTTTAGTCCCAGCCTTGGGCACTGGTCACTCATCAGCCATTCTGGCTTACTCAGTGAGCTCCAGACCATCGAGAGACCCTGTCTCATGAACAAGGTGGATGGGGGCTGGAGAGGCAGCTTAGCTGTTCTTCCAGAAGACCCAGGTTCAATTCCCAGCACCCACATGGTGGCTGACAATTATCTGTAACTCCAGTTCTAGGACGCCCTCTTCTGGCCTCCACAGGCACCATACACAGTTGGTGCACAGACATACATGCCAGCAAAACACCTATATACTTTAAAATAAAAAATTAAAAAAAAAAAGCAACCAAGGTAGTGGGTGATGCCTGAGGAGTTACATCTGAGGTTCACATGGATGTGCACATATAAATGCACCCACATGTGCATGTACACCTGTACATAAACATAAAACAAAACAAAAACCCCCAAAGATACCCAACAACCAAAAGACAGGAACTAAACAAACACACAAAGGCTTGAATGACGAGTAGCAGGAGAGTTCAACTGTGCACACGCAGACTGGGCATCAGAGGCCAGGAGCAGAAGCCCAATCGAAACGTGGAGGGCATACCTGACTCAAAGCCCCCTCCTACCCACACCCCACGCCTGCCCCCTGGAGCTCCAACAGGGGATCACGTGTGCTGCTGTTGGCTCCTCCGTCCTGTGGATCCTGACAACTTCAACTCAGGTCCTCAGCCTTGTGCAGAAGGCACTTTATCCATGGACCCACCTCTTTAACCCTCTTCAGAGGTACAATAGCAACAGCAGGACAGACGTGTGACTGCCCACAGCCTGGCCTCACCTGGCCCACGTGCTCCCGGAGCTGGGCACTCTCCTGGCCAAGCAGGGCCACCTGCCCCTCTAGATGTTCCTGCTTTTGCTCCAGGTGCCCACACGTCTCCTGGAGACTTCTCCGTTCAGCCCGAATGAGGCCTAGCTGCCGCTCCGCCTGCGCCAGCTGCTCCCTGACGCCGGCTTGCTCCTGCTCCAGCATCTTCTGCTGCTCCCGAAGCTGGTCCCTCTCCTGCTCCAGCTGCAGAGCAGGTAGGAAGACATTTAACCTTTGGACCACACACCCCGAGTGCCCACAAGCCAGCCACCCATGTAGGCCTTCCATGGAGATGCTGTGGTCCCTGCTTCGGGCCTGACCAGGATCAGTGGTCAGGTCCTGCATCTCACCTCCAGCACCTACTCTTGGGATGGTGGCCTCAGTCCAAGCAGGAAAGAGATCTGGGGTATGCAGATGACAGGACAAGCCCACAGAGAAAGTTCAGGGGCACCCTGGCGGAAGTGAGGCCTTGGCTCTTGCCTTACCTGAAGCACCAGATGGTTTAGGGTGTCTTTGTCCTGGGAAAGCCCTTCCGTCAGGGCAGCCATCTTGGCCAGTGAGTCCCGCTGCTCTGTCCCCTCCGACGTCAGCCGTGCCACCAGCAATTCCAAATCAGCATTGCTAGATTCAGCCTGTGAGGCGTAGTGGTCACCCAGAGATGGCTCCTAGGAGAGGCTTCAGATTCTTCCCAGGAGAATTAAGGTTCTGACTAGAGTTAGTGACTGGTGGCCCAAGGAGATTCCCTAGGAGCAGATGTGGCCATCGGGGTTGGGAGGGCAAGGTGTCAGGAGTGAGGCTGGTGTACAATGGCGGTGACTAGGAGCCCTGGTAGTGGTCCAGGCCACGTGGGTAAGGACAGAGGCAAGGACTATGTGTACTGGGGTACATACCCGGGCCAGGGCACCACGCAGGCTCTCCCTTTCAGCCTCCACGATGTCCCTCTGCAGCTGCATTGAGCTGAGTGCCTCCCGGGCCGTGGCCAGCTCCTTCCTGAACCCAGAGACCTTCTCCTCCAGCTGTTCCAGGCGGCCCTGGCTGAGGCCCCGCGGCCAGAAGGCAAAGTCGGGTGGTCTCTTCAGAGATGCCCCCACAAAACTTGTAGGCAGGGAACTTCTAACAAACCCCTTTAAGACCAAGGAGCCCCAAAGCTGCATGGTGCCTCTGGCTGTATGCCTGGGTGAGGTCTACACATGGGTGGATTGTGTACACAGGGCCAGGCATTGGGCTGATATAGGTGTGGGACTATGGGTTGTGTGGTACCCTGCTCAGGAGGAGCTGCCCACCCCCTGCCCCTGACGCACTGTTTGTATCTCACCCGTGGTCTCATAGTCCAAGGGACCCTGCTGGCCTGCAGCTCCCCCACAACCCACCTGGCCTCCAGCTCACGCAGACTCCGCTCACTCTTCTGGGCCAGCTCGGCTTTCTGCTCTGCCCTCAGCAGGAGGCTTCTCCGCAGCTCTGCATTTGTGACCTCCAGCTTCTGGGTCTCCGCATCCCGAATGTCTGCCTTTGCTCTTAGCTCCTTCATGGTTGACTCCAGGGCTACTTTCTCCCTGGGAGCAGGAACAAGGGCAGAGGCAGCCTCAAGCCATGCTTCAGGAGAGAAGCACCTGAGGCCATCAAGACTCACTGTACTGGGAAGGGTGGCCAGGGGTGAGTGAGTATGGATCAGTAGGAACAGGGGGGTATGTGTCAGTAGGGGTAGTGTGGGTACAGGTCCTCAGGGGCCTCAAAGGCAGATGGAGTCCAGGGAGGCACAGGAAGAAGAGTTAATACTGTGACCCAAAGCCTCAGGTCTTCGCAAGGTGGCTGAGATGAGGTGGCCACTGCCTGGCTTGACCAGCCTTCGCCTTCCCTTGTAAGAGCTTAAGGCCCAGCTCTCTGCCACAGAAGCCAAGCCTGGGCAGTCATCACAGACCTCTCTCTGCCACACAGTTAATGTCCACCACGTCCTTGCAAACCTCCACCACAGGAGGGACACCTCCCTGGCCACGGTCTCCCTGCTCTGTCCCTCAACCCTCAGGTGCACACACTCTGTGGGTCCTGAAGCCCCTGTGCAGCGGCTCTGCGGCTCTGGGTGCTTCTCCCCGTGCCTCCTACCCTGTGCACAGCCACGCCTCGTCGTCGTTCAGCTGGGTCCCTGAATGTTAGCCTCTCTCCTCTCACCCTGTCCTCTGAATAGCGGATCCTATTTCCCGAAGGGCTTTTGAATCTGACACTGCATGGGCTCACTGTGTCCTGCTGAAATCCCCCCAGCATTCCCCTGCCACCTCTGCTCTGCTCCTGCCTCCCCCAGACACTCCATCCCATGTGGCCTTGTGTGCCCTCTGAATTTTGGAGAAGTGGATAGTCCTTCTGTGACATGGTCCTGCCTGCCCAACAGGCTCACCAAAGACTCCCTATGGACTGCCACACAGCACTGCCTCCCTCTGGGAAGGCCTCCCTGCCCTCCTTGAGTTTATTACTGCTGCCTTTGGATTTCTGCCCACTCCTGTGCAAGGCTGCCCTGACATGCCCACCCCTGTGCCCTCCTGCTCTGTGTCTCTCCAGGATAGGACTGATTCATACTCATTTTGTGCGCCGAAGCACCCAGAATATGTATAGGCTGCTTGGAGGAGCTGTGAAGGATGTGTGGTCTGTCCCCAAACCATGGGGTCAGGGGGACAAGGGGTCATAGCTGTCTCCGCTCCCTGGGACATTGCACACCTCCTTCAGGAAGATTCCCAGATCCATGGCTGACACCTGGCTCTTACTCAGCCTGCATCCAGTAGATCCCAGAGATTCCCTGTACACTCGGTGGCCCTGATTCTTGCCAGCCCCAGGTTAAAGAGTCACGTGTAGAAAGTATCTAGAACTCTATGGTAGCTGCAAAGGAGCCATGGAACCCACAGGGTATGTGGGAAGTGGGGTTCTTTTGGCCATGGTGAAGGGTCACTGGTAGGGGGAGGTCACCTAGAGGGGAGTCGGGAGCAGGGGTGGTAGAAGAGCAGAGCCTGATGAGGCCAGAGCTTCTGGGGATAGGATATGGGGCTGGCCCTGCAGAGAGCTAGGGCATGTGCAAATGATGCCTTTGCTTTTTAGCAAAGGGAAACCCAGGTCAGGTACAGCATAGGAGCACAGCAAAGGGAGAGGAGCAACTCAATCCAGGCAAAAGGGGGTGCAGAGTGACGGGCAGCCTGGCCCCTAGAAGGTCTTATCTGGAGATGGGGCCTTTTCCTGTTCCTGCTGTGAGGTCTCACAGAGGACAGCTGCACAGTGCTGCCCCGTCCTGCCCCGCTGCTTCCGTCACCTTTCCAGGAGATGGATAGATGCCTGGCTGTGCTGTGCCTCCTGCCTTTGGGCCTCCAGCTGGCCCAAGAGATCCTCATGCTCCCGTGCCCTGTCCTGCAGAAGCCTTTGTGAGGCCCGCAGCTCCTGCCGATACCCAGACAGCTGCTCCCGGAGCCTGGCTACTTCCTCTTGGGAGGACTCCAGCCTGAGATGCAGCTCCTGCCGGGGTCATGGAACCCACAGTGAGCATCAGCAGCCATCCAGAGCACCTCAGTTCTTCCAGAAGTGCCCCTGGCACATGAAGTTCCTTCCCAGGCTGTGGAGCTCAGGTACAGGCTCCATGGAGACCCAGCCACCAACACCCCCCAGGGAAGGCTGTGGAAAGTTCCCACACCCAGCTGGGCAAGGTTTGTGACCCCGGTGGCCCTGTGGGCCATGGTCACACACCTGCTCCCTCTGCTGACGCCTCTCAATGGCTGCCTTCACGGCCTGCAGTGCAGGGTCCAGGCTGGCTGGAGGGCTGGTCCGTGTTGGGGACAAATGCCAGTGGGGTGATAGAGAACGTGGGGGGCTCCTCAGTTGGCCCGGTAGCTCCCTGACTTCACCACTGCTGCTCCTGGTCAACTCTGGACACACTACATCTGCCTGGGCCACCTTCAAGTCACAGAGAGAGAGAGAGAGAGAGAGAGAGAGAGAGAGAGAGAGAGAGCAGAGGGAAGAGTGCAGGGCCACGATTAAACAGGACCTTCTTCTCATGAGGACCAACTAGAACCAGTGTCCCCACAGGTCTTCTGCATCCAGGAAGGACATCAGGCAGGACCATACCTCCTTGATGCTGGCCAGGACATGGTGCAGTACTTCCAGCTCATCCCTCAGTTCGTCAGCAACCAGCTGGCCCCCACTGCGCCGGGATTTCTGTGGACAGAGACTCCTGAGCCAGGCAGACATGCACCCATGGCAAAGCACCCCATTCCCCACCCCACAAACCAGTCTCTGGATGTCCGCCTTGAGTGTCAGGATGGCTCTCTCCCCTTCTTCTTTCTGCTCAGAGAGCTTCTCTACCAGCAGTGTCTGCTCTGAAAGTCTGGAGAGAGATGAGGGTGATGATGAGGGGCCCTGTGCGTGCTGTGGGCCATCAGGATGCCTCCCTATGGGACGGCCTCCCTACAGTGCTGAGGCTATACCTCGGTCCACGTCCCGACTGCATACCTTCTCTGCTACAGAACTCTGATGACTCCCACTATCTTGGGAGTAAAACAACAATTCCAAGCTCAGCCGTCATGGCTCATGCTCTCATTCCAACTCAGATCTGCAGCCCCATGTCGGAATGCTGGGTGTGATCACCCGGGAAGCTGGCGCTGCTCTCTCCACCTCACCTCAAGTCCGTGCCTCTGGGGCATCCCTGCACCAGCCACCCAGAGCCCAAGGCCCACCTGGCTTGTAGCGCCACCTTCTCAGCAGCCCAGTGGCCCTGCAGCTGCAGCATTTCCCTGGCCTGCTCCCTCAGCCTCTGCTCCAGGTCACTGGTCTTGCTGCTGGCTGAGAGCTGCAGGTGGGAGTCGAGGCTCAGGCAGGCCACATGCAAGCGTTGGGCCGTCCGGGCCATGTCTGCCTGAGCATCAGTGAGAGCCCTGCAATACACGAGTAGTACCTTGGCTGAGCCGCATGACCTTGCTGTGAGCTTGGGGCCCAGGATGCTGCAAGCCAGACCTCAGAGGGAGAGGCAGGTCACATGAACAACGACCATTTTCAGGAGAAGCCCTACTCTATGCTGTGCGGTAGCTTATATGTCGTAGAATGGTGAAGATAAGAGCCAAGGAAGAGTGAGCAGGGATGGGCCTGACCAGAAATGACAACCTTGAGTAAGACACTGGCCTCTGGGTTTTTATCTCCTCCTGTGTAAATGGGGGTGCAATTACATCGAGGGCCACTGGGCATGCACAGGACAGATGCCCATGAGATGCCCAGAAAGGACTAGATGGATCTCTGAAACCTGAAGGCCACTGTTCACCGTCCATACAAGTGCCAATGCCCTGCTCTCCTCCTCCTTTTTCTCCACTTCCTCCCTCCTCCCTAGCTCTCCACCTTCCCACAGGGCAGCCAGAGTCAGCATAATTGCAGCCCAGGAGGAACCAGTCTTACCACTTAGGAGCCACGAGGTGGGCACTTCTGCTTACCTCTCAGTGGAAGCCCGAAGCTCAGCCAGGTGTGTCTGCAGAGCCTTGGCTTGTCTCCACAGCGGAAGGATATCCCGAGGCTCTCTCAGGCCCAACCTTTGGGTCTGGTAACAGGAGGTTGTGCTTACTTGGGCCATGTACCTTTCCTCTCTCCTACCACCCCACCATGGGCTGGAAGGGGAACCTGTATCACCTATTAGGTATCCAAGCCTCATATCCATCCCACGGGCTTCCCGACCCCACATGAGAGACACTTCCATGCCCTCCTACCATAGCAGTAGGGAGTGTTGTTCCCACAGAGGGCAGGGCGCCCGAGAATCAGGCCTCCCCAGAACAGAAAGGCTTTCCTAGGAGCTGGTGCTGCCCCTCTGAGGGAGGGGCTGCTCCTCTGTCCCCTCAGTGCCATGGGAGGTCTCACGCTAGGGGGCTCTCCAAGATGTGCAGGACCCCCACAGATAGTGTAGCAGCAGCAGAGGAGCCAGGAGGAAGGAGGCTGGTGACGGTCACGTGACATTGCCAATCATAACACGGGCCCACAGCCTTTGGGAACAGTGGGGCCCAGAAGGCTCTTGGGGTCTATTTGATACCTTTCCTATCATCACACCCCACTGTGTCCTGTATGCTGGCCTCTGGGACCCACAGGGTTCCCTGTACCAATTGCTTTCCTATCGCTTCTTGCTGGTCCCTGCACAATTTTAGCTCTACCCAAGGCTCTTCAGCATGGCTTTCCAATGGACACACTCTCCTTATGCCTGTCAAAAAGCCACACTTCTTCTTGTATAAGGCCATTCCTGACTCTTAAGCAGACCCTGTGTCTGAGCCCTCTGTGGGCCCTGGTCCCAGGACCATGTGTCTGTACACCTTGGGACACAGCAAGGGACACTTGACGTCACATCCCAAGGGTGAGACATCTTAGCTCCTGTCTCATGGGAGCATGAAATTCTAGACCTTTTCCTCTTCTTGACAAGGCTGAGTGGACTAGCCCAGGGAGAGCGCACAGCCAGGACATTTCGCGCAGGTGAGGAACCCCAGCACCATGCAACTTCTTTCTAAAAGGAGCAACTTGAGCATCAGTTTCTTTACTCTGGAGAGCTGAGCAATGCCCAAAGTGGGGGTCTTCTCAAACATGGAGGAGATCCCAAAGCTGCACTCAACACACTGAAGGTGGGGACTAGAGAATGAACAAGAATACCTCTGACACACCACAAGCACATGCTTACACTTCCATCCTACTCTCATATACTAACACTCACCTAGAGCCACAGACATGCAGATTCACACGCACACAAACACCAAAGAAACACCACACTCCAACACACTATACTCACACAGCTCTCACACACTCACATATCCTTATACACTCAGACTGTCACTCACCACAATGGACTCCCACATGCACACATACCACACTCCCACACTCCCACACATGCACACATACACAATACATTTATGTCTTCACATATACACACCACTCACATCTATATAGGCTTGCACACACCCCCCCCCCCACACACACACACACTGTCTTGCAGAGAAACAGCCTGTCTAGAATGTTAGAGCTGAACAAAAGCAACAGCTCTTCCCTGTGCCTGGAACCACGATGAAACATCATGTAGCCTAAATGCACACCACCTAGGTTTTCACAAACACAGAAGCTGAAAGCCTACTGCAGTGTGGTTCAAAGACTAAGGGAGCCTCTAGCTACCCATCAAAAGCAGTTGAAAATCCTTTCTGAAAAACTCCTGCATTCACCCCACTTTCAAGGAATTTTTGCAAAGTTCCAAGGGAAATAACCAGCTCCCTGATAAAGAATAAGAGATTACCAATGGCACAAGGAGACAGTGCATGGTGATCGGGAGTCAGCAGAAACACGGGATCAGAGTTTGGAGGACTGCAGGTGGTGGAACATAGACCCCGAGCACAAGCTAGCTGCTTAGGATACACACCAACCAAGGAGTGGAATACTTAGAAAAGACTCAATCTATTCTCCTGAAGATGAAAAAACCTGCTATTTGTAATTCCAGTCAAGGAGGCAGAGTCCGAGATGATTAGAAGTCAGAAGCAATAATGATGAACAAGAACACAAGACTGGGCCGGACATTGGTATTGCACGCCTTTAATCCCAGCACTCAGGAGGCAGAGGCAGGCGGATCTCTGTGAGTTCGAGGTCAGCCTGGTCTACAGAGCGAGCTCCAGGAAAGGCGCAAAGCTACACAGAGAAACCCTGTCTCGAAAAACCAAAAAGAACACAAGACTGAAGAAATTAGCCTGGCTCAGGGTAAGAGAGGAAAAGTAACTCAGAATGACTTTGAGCACTGGAGATGGTGTAAGTTGGCACCGACACCTTGTTGGCATGAGAAGAGGGAGAGGTGGGCATAGGCAATTCTGAAAGGGTTAATGGCCCTTCCCAGTCATGAGGAAGGATGGATGCCAGATAAGCCTTAAGCAAGATAAACAGGAAGAACCCACACTGGGGTGTGTCATAGAACGCTGCAGCCTGCCAAAGCCAAAATGAGGTGGGAGAAGTCGCCAGAGCAAGGAGACCAACAGCCTTGGGTCGAGTTAGGGTCAGGGGAGGCCATAGCCTTGTGGGCTGCAGCAAAGAGTCCAGAGGCAGGGCCCTGCACAGGCCTGAGAGGAAGGACCATGATGAGCAAAGCCAAGGTGACTGTGGACACTGTTTGTATAGCTTTGTTTGGTGGAAGCCACTCGGGTGGGTGGCATGGTAGACAGGGCAATGGCTGTCATCTGCCTCAGCAAGCCTGTGTCCAGATCTCCTGGGATGACAGGCCCAGCTCTCTGGTGACACTCTATGAGACAGTGCATCCCCCCCCACACACCTTAGCTGACACCGATACCCTCTTGTCTCCTGCAGAGGCGGTGACAACAGGTGTGTCTGTTGTAGCTGCCACCAGGAATGACAGGTGTGGGGCAGGGGTCTCTGTGGTTGCCTGTCCTGACCTCTGAGGGGAGGGCAGTGATGGCCTCTCTGAGATGGATTTGTTTGAAGGGACATACGTGGACCCAGGCCCAGGGGTCTCCCTCAGCTCCTGCTTTCATATGGAGAGAGCATATTCTTCAAGTGGCTTCAGAAAGGGAATCTTGCCACTGGTGTGTGCAGGACGCTTGGAGGTGCATTCAGACCCCTTTGGGGCCGGGCTGTCAAGGGGCTATTTTAGCTTCAGTTGTATAGGCCACACCCTTCTCTGGAGGTCCCAAGACCAGACCTAGACATCTCCCAAGGCTTGTAACATTGTTCCCTGATGCTTTGAGTGAGCAGACTGTGGGTCTCTGACCAGGAGCTTAAGAAGAGCCATGAGACCCAGGTCCTTTGAGCAGCCTTTCTGTGCGGCCAACAGTGTCACACATCAGAGCCAAGAATGGCCCAAGAACCATCCAGTCTTATTCTCTTTTCCCCCATGACACAGGCTGCTGTGACCAAGCAAAATGGATGGTGAGGCCTCCCACCAGGAGGGGCTGCATGGAGCCAGCATCCGCCTTCCTGATCCTTGCTGCCCCACCTACCATCATTAGCTGCAGCCACCAAGTTAGACATGCAGAAGCAGGGACAGGGTGTGGGGGCACCTCTCTCTTGGGTCAGTGACATACCTCCCGCAGCTCCAGCTTGCCCTGCAGGCGGAGCAAGCTGTGTGTTGTCCTGGCCAGCTCCCTGGCCAATGTGTCATTGGCCTTCTGCATGTGCTCCAGCTGTCCCCGCAGGAGGCTGTTTACTTGGGAGAGGCCCATGCTCCTAGATGGACAAAACCCACAGCTTCATGCACGGTGACTTCCTAAAGAAGCACACAGAGTCCAGGGGGCCTAAACCAAGGAGGTCTAAATGGTGCCCTGAGACTCCTGAACTCAGCTCAGGTGCATAGCCCCTCCCCCTCCCCCGCTGTGCTCCCAGGCAGCACTGACCACCTGCAATGAGCCCCACACAGAGCCAGCATCAGAAGGAACCCCCAGGACCAGCTCCACATCATCTTTCCTTCCTGAGAATCCTGTTCTCCCAAGCTCTCCCTCACTCCTAGCCACTCCTCTGCCTGAAAGAAATTTGCAGGGTACAGGAGGCTCAAAGGGAGCCTTAGAGGGAGGGGCAGGCTGGCAGGAGCTGGGCACCTCTGGGAGATGCTAGCCATCCTGTCAGCTTTTCAGGCATCAGGCTCCCCAGGGGCTTTTCTTTCCCCTCAAAATGGGTTTTCAAAATGCTTTTCAGCATTTTCTCCGTTCGTTCGCCAGATTCCTGGAGGATAAGCCAACCACAGGATGTTAGTGAGGCGAGCTCTGCTCAAGTGGGGCTCTAGGGCCGTTTCTGGGACTGGGGTGGGGTGCATTCTTGCCAAGTACGAACAAAAGGGCCTGTTGACAACAGAGAGGCTTGAAGCCAAAAGTTCGGGGGTTGTGGTTGGGGTGGTATGGAGAGCTAGGGAAGGGGCATCCAGGATTGTGTGTGCCCATGGCTCGTGGTGGACTGTGGTAACCCACCAGCAGGGATGGCCAGGCAGTACCCTGAGCAGGCATCCTGGCATCGCACTCAGGGGATGGGGTCAGGGAGCCCTTGGCAACAGCTGTGCCTTGGGAGGCTGCCCATAGGCCCAAACCTAATCCTCACAGGGAGGGAGCAGATTCACCCTCAGTTGCTCCGGGCTAGACATGGATGCTCCCACGTCCAGGGTGTGGGGATATATACTGAGGAGTGTGGGCAGAGGACAAGGCCATCTCTGATGCCAGCTCTCACTTGTAGGTGGCCTCTCCTAAGAGACCTGATTCCCAACTCTGGGATATTATGGCTTCAAGTCTCTCTGATGGCTTTGCTTCTTGTACTCAGAATAAAGATAATCACTATGGAGGAGTCTCACTCACCCAGCAGTGATAAGGGAGCTTTCAGCTCTGCACTATCAGTCCCCTGGCAGGGAAAGGGAACCTGTTGCCCACTCTTCAGACTACCCTCCCTCTCCCTTCTCACACTCCCTGGCTCCGAGGAGTGAGAAATTGTATGCGAGGATATGGGAGTAGTCTCCAATGGAAGGTAAGGGAGAACAGCATGGTACCCAGCTCTGCTTGCTACTGGCTCTTCCTTCCCAGGGTCCTTCCCCTGCGCCCATTTTCCACAGGCAAAGTTAACTCAGAATAGCTTCGATTGGCTGACCAATAGCTGTGAGGCACAGTAGGGTCTGCCCGCTTTGGGGAGATGACCGCACTCCTGCAACCCTGACAGCCTGTCCATTGGACCTCACCTCTGCTGCGAGGCCTCCAGCCGGCTAAGTGCCTCCTCCAAGTCCATGCTATGCTCCAGCTCTGACTTCCGAAGCCGGGCCTCAGTGGTATCCAGGCGGGCCTGCAGCTAGGAAGGAGTGTAAGCCCACCTGGTCCACCCCTCTCTAGTCAGCCAGGTAGGGCATCTTTGACATAAAGCCCACTCTGGGCAGAGTCAGGGTACAGGGCTTCCCAGGAGCCTGTTCATACCCTGCTTCTCTGTCTGTCCCGCCCACAGAGGAGGGGGCGGGGAAGCATGCTGGTTGAGCGGAAGATGCTTGGATACTATTAGGCCTGGGAATCCTATAGGAGTGGTTGGAGGCAGGGCTCTGGAGGTCCCTGGAGACACTTCACTTCCAGGTTAGTAAACTGAGGCCCTGGTGGCCCTGGTGTCTGGGGCAGTCCAGCTTTTAGCATAGGGCTGGGTGGACAGCTGAAAAGCAGGCTCTGCCATGCCTCCATGGGGCATGCATCTGACTCTTCTGGCCTGGCCTATTTCCCAAGCTGCATCTCCCCTCTCAACTCTCATCCTTAGCAGGTGGGAACTAACTCACATGGGTGCCAAGTCCCCTTGCTACCAACACAGAGCATTATCCCAAGGGGTTAGGAACGGAGGCTGGGAACCATGGGGGAGTCAGGAAGGCACAGCCAAGGCCTACTGCCCAGAGCCACTCGGCCGTTACAGTGGGGATCTGAACCCAGAGCCTAGGAAGTCACAGGGTCAGGAAGTTCTGGGAGGAAGGTACAAAGAGCAGTGGGGAATGGAGATGGGACACAGGAGTGGCCGGTGGCCAAGGACCTATTTCTCAGCCACCAGCAGTGTGACAGTTGGGATCAGAGGACTTCAATTATAAGGGATTGTAGTGTCATCTGGGGAGGACATGCTGGACACCCCTCACCCGGTTCCACCTGTGTGCTGGGAAGTAGTTTGGGGCAGGGTCTCCTGGCACCCCCAGCTAGCGGGCTGCGAGCTGAGTTCTGGCTCATAGCTTATTAGTTTACTCCTCTTTGGAAGGACTTCTGCAGCGTCTATTCCCTGAAGTCCATTCCCAACATCTCCCGCCCCGTGCTAGGAAGATCTCTGTCCCCAGAATGCACCACGGCAGAGGCTTACAGGAAGAGCAGCCTCAGGGAGCTCCTGAGCCAGACCACGATAAGGGGGTCCTCACAGTCTTTCTTAGAGGGACTCTTGGGGTGGGGGGCTAAAGGAAACAGCATTTCCCATATAGGGTAGTTTGGTGGAAAAGGGTATCAGAGAACTGGGACCATTGGCAGGGGGGCACCTTAGGGCTACTGTGGTTGTACCAGGAGGCATAGCCGAGGTATGGCCAAACATGGCCAAACCTCTGGCTTTGCACGGGTTTCTCTACATGCCATAGAAAGAGCAGATTCAGGCCAGGACTGGGCCTGGGCATGGTTGTATGGCCTTAGGACAGTGGTTCTCAATTTTCCAAATGCTGCCATTCTTTGATTCAGTTCCTCATGTTGTGGTGGCCCTCAACCACAAACGATTTCATTGATATTTCATAACTGTAATTTTGTTGCTGTTATGAATCATAATGTAAATATATGAAATGCAATATATCTGATATGCGACCCCCAAAGGGGGTCACAAGAACCCTTGCCTTAGGAGAACACTAGCCAGAGCCGAGCCTGAGTTTCCTCCTCTGTCCTGTACTCAGGCTGGGTCCACAGACGGCCTGGGGGTTGATGCTGGGGACTCGGAGCCCCACACAGCATGCACTGTTCTCCCTTATCTTGTGCCTATCCTGCCCAGGTATGCTTCTGAAGCTCTCATGACTTGGAGAGAATAATGCATGAAAAGGGCCCTGGCCTGGAAAATGTCTTAATTTTTCTGCCTGGGTTTCTCTATCTTCATAGAAAAGACATTCCCTAGCCCACAGGCATCCTCCCCCAAAACCTCTGGCTGCAGCCTATACCTCAGAGTCACCCCTCACGTCTCCCATCCTGAGGCCTGCCTGGCAGGCACAAGGTGCACATGAGAAAGGCATGGGCTGGAGCAGAGCTGTTTGCCCACAGGCTTTGCCTGGGGTCTGGGGCCAGGCCTCCCTGGCTTTCTCCTCTGTTCAGAAGCTGGCTTTGTGATTACGATTGACAAAGTCCTGAGACCAACGGGTCATCACTGACCAGGCCACTCCACAGGGCTCCTGGAGCAGATGAGAGACATGCATCTGAAGGGGCTGTCTCTTGCTTCACCTGCTAGCCTCCATCTATCTGTTGCCCATGGTCCTGAGATTGGCTAATGGCCTTGCAATTATAATCACCGGTTCTGGGGAGTGATCTCTAATAGGGGCTAGTCTGTGAGCACTGGCCTGCAGGTACCAGCTACACACTTACCCTCTGGCTGACCATATGACACCTGCTAGCCAGTTCCTCCCTCTCAGCATCTGCCTGAGCCAGCAGATCCTCCAAGCGGGCCAGCTCCTCTTGCAGGAGTTCACTCTCCTCCTGTGCGTGGGTTGCAGTAGCTGGCAGCTCCCGCAGTCCTGTGGTGAACATAGCATTCAAATCAGGCCAGGGCCCTACCCAAACATCCCACTGCTACATCTGTACCAACAGGAAAGGGCTTCCATGAGAAAACTCACTTCCTCTCCTGTTCCTGAGCACCCACCTACCTTTATTACCCTTGACAAACATCTTTAACCCCCTTAGACTAATGGCCCCTGCCAATCAAAGCGTGTGCGGGGGACACTGGGGACAACCCGTCGTGTCTAGGTCCTGAGCAGTAGTGGGCTGCTGCTTCGGGGTAGCAGGACCCTGCCCACAGTAAGGTTGCCTTCCAAATATGCAGAGGTTTTTCTCTGTCCTTTCCATGCACCCAGCAGTAGCCCGGGGCCATTAGAAGATTAGACAGACCCTTATGACACAAAGCGGTCATCAAGACCCCTGCAGAAGGGACGCATGAGCTCAACTGGGGTCAGAGAGCCTGACTCCTATTTGGCCTCCATGCAGGGATGGATTCCTTGGAGCCTGTTCCTGAAGTGTGATAATAAGAAAGTTGTGTGCATGGGGCTGGACGAAGGGCGAAGACAAAGCTCAGGATGTCTGTGCTCAACCTAAACCCAAAATGTCAACCTTTAGGATTTTCACTCTGGTGGGAAAAAAAAGCGACGACGGATAAAATCAAGACACAACGGCTTAACTGTCACAGCACAGAGGTCAGCTCCATACAGCATCGATAATAGCCTCGTAGCTATCTGCATGACCCCTGGGGACCCAGTGAGGAGAGTGTGGTCGGGAAAAATGGGGCCAGGAGAGTCTGGGATGGGCAGTAAGGGCCACAGATAGTCCTAATGATGTGGCTCCCTAAGGCCAGACTCCAGTGTGCTGCTCTGACCCCCCCTGCCCCCCCCCGTACCTGAGTAGCTTTAGCACCCTCACCTGGGAGTGGTTCCTCCACCAGGCTGCCTGACACAATCTCTCGGATGCGGGCTGGTACAGGGGTGGGTAAGGCGCGCTGACCTTCCCCACGCACAGTCAGTGCCCGGTCTTCCCTGTTGGCCATGGGGCTCAGGATGGTGTCCTCCAACTTCTGAAAAACACCCCAGAGCTCTGGTTCTTGCAGGCCCTGGACAACTTGCAGGCACCTCACACCAGTTCACTGGTATCAGTGGGAGCCATCACACGGTCACTTCAACGTAGCAAAGAGTCCCAGAGATAGCAAAGTGGGGCCAGGCTGGTCACTCAAGGCACATGCCTCAGTCTCCCCACCTGTGGGGTGGGATTTTGCCAGTTGCAGGCTGAGCTTTGGCAGAAATGAGGAAACCAAGAAAACGGCTATTTGAGAGGATTCCTAGCCGAGGTCAGCACAACTCACCTCTAAGCCTTTTCCAACGCTAAGGAGGCTGGGCTAAGTCCTAGGCCGATTCTTCATGTCAGCCTCTCTGGGATGTCAGGAGCAGGTGGCCACAGAAAGACACCCAGCCTCCTGCCCCACCTGGAGCAGTTAGTCTCAGGTGCACAGTAGAGATGGGGAGGCTCCCGAACCCCACCCAGTGATCCCAGGCCTGGGGATTACATGTAAAAGGATCGAGAGTCCACCCCCTGTTCTGAGAGGCCCATCCATCATAAGGGGTGTGTGGGGCCCTGTGAGGCAAGACAGGCACAAGGTGACATCAGTGAGGACTCAAGGACTAGCAAGGTCAGCGGGGTCATGCTAGTTTTTAAAATGTCTCCCTCGGGCTACCCTAGAAGGTAGCTAGTGTGGCCTACTTCCCTAGTGGGTTCTGGAGCTGCTGAGCTCTCAGGAGAGAAACCACACAGGCCCAAAGTAAGCATAAAGTCCAGGGGTCCCGGTGAGACAGAGCAGAGGGACCTGGCCCTCTGTGAGGGCATCTAATGAGGAGTAAGCACCTTCAAACGTTACGAATGCTAAGGATGACGATAGGGTCTTTATCGTAAGCACTCTTTCATGGTTTCCTTCAAACAAGCTAGGCTGCTGGGGGCTGGGAGATTTTGACTTCAACAATAGTCACTCTTCCCTTGTGCCTAGCTGCCTTGAGCAGAGAACCGTTAAATTACCAACCCCATTCTTGGCAACCAACTGGACTGTTATCATGGTAGCCTGGCTGCTATGAACATTCCATGAACATCTCCACGAGGCTACCCCGCCCCCATAGGTGCTGGGAGCATCCCAAGCTGGGATGCTGGGGCTGCAAGCCCTGTTTTAGAGGACTACTCCAGATAACCTGCATCAACTCGAGGGAACTTCACTTGGGGCAGGACAGCCTCGGGAACTCCAGAGGATACCGTGTACTCTGTAGGGGTTATCACTCCAACTCAAGGGTGGGCGCTTTCTCTAGGAACTCAACAGAAAGCGTGAAGCTTGTGCTTGGCTGACCACAAGTGTGGGGTGCCCTGTCCAGCGCCTAAGCAGCTTGCCGGTCACTCTTTTCAGGTTAAAGCCCTCTCCTGTGTTCAGCACTCTGGTGCCACAAGATCAGAGCCAAGAAAAAGCTCATTCCAAATGGGTTCTTGGCCCATGTTGTGGTCTTTATCATGAGCGACATAGGCTGGACTGGTTGAATGAATTATAGGCAAGACCCCAAGCTTCCAAGTCTTAGCGAAAGTAGAAGCAGCTACTTTGAAGGGTACCAGGAGCCAAGAGCCAAGAGCCCAGACACTGAAGCTATGAGCTATTATATAACACCCATCTTGACAGCTGACGTATTCGAGAGAGCAACTGAGGGCAGAAACTGTGAGAAATTAAGAAAGGTGACAGGGAAGCCAAAACTCAGTGAAGAGCCCAAGGGCAGGGCCTAGACTATGGGGACTGCAAGCCCCAGAGGAATCTGGGAGGGCTGCTGAGGGTTCTAGAGGTAAGTCTGGGTACCTAGAACCGAGGACACGAACAGGTGCTCTGGGCCCAGAGCAATCTAGACCTCTGTCTCCAGCACCTATGGCAATAAGCTTCTGACTGTGAAGGCTTGGAGCCAGAAACCTCTGGTCCCAAGGCTTAGTGCTGTGAGCCTCTAAACCTCTAAAACTGAAGGTCATCAACACCACGGGGACAGCTTCTTGTCTACCTATGACTCCTACCTAGGTCTTTGGGCTCCCAGATTTCTCAGCAACATTTTGTTGGGGGAGGGGAGGCACATGTTTCAGGGGAAGGAATGGACCTGGGACTGAGACCTTGTCAGGTCCGGTGGACGGACTTGTTCTGTGTCAGCTGGAAACTTCCGGATATGGGACAGGCAGACAATATGACGGGGATTAAGAACAGCCCACAGTGGCCCACCTGCTCTGTGCATGAAGGATGTTTGAGTTAAAGGCAGTGGGCTAATGACTGGTGATTGACGTCGCCCCCCCCCCCCCCACACACACACCAGAGCTTCCCAGGGCAGCAGCCACAGTGGGACCCCTCAACCTCCTGACTTCCATCTTCCAGCTCTCACTGATGACTCCAGTCTGGAGCCCTCCTGGTTCTGACTCTCAGGCCGGCGCTCGTGGGGAGTCCCTGCTTCTCCAAGCACCCCACCTTCCCTACCCATTCCTCCTCTTGACTGTAGCCAGGACTCTTTTCACTCTGAATCCTGAATGTCTCCGTGGAGAAAAACCACAGCCTTCACCTAGTCCTCCTAAATATACTGCCCCCGCCCCCTTTCCAAGACAGAGTTTCTGTGTATGTAGCCCTGGCTATCCTGGAATTCGCTCTGTAGGCCAAGCTGGCCTCCAAAACAGAGATCTGCCTGCCTCTGTCTCCTGAGTGCTGGGATTAAAGGCCTATGCTACTGCCCAGCTGACTCCTCTCTTAGGCTAGCCAGTTTGGAGTCACCCCAATAGCCAGATTCTGCACAGCCCTGGACAGGGCCTGTTCTGGTCCCTAAGAATCCTGCAAAGGTCAGATGTTGCAAATGAGTGAGCTCAGGGCCTGGTTAGTCTGCTCCTCCAGGCTGTGCAAAGACTTACTTTCCCAAGGCTTTGCACTTACTCCCCTAGGTGGTCCTGGGAAGGTGTCCTCACTTCACTTCCCTCCAGAGGACCTCCCAGTCTCGCTCTGAGTGGGTGGTAAACAAAGTCTTCCTTGGGTGCCGCAGCTCCCCTGGTGAGGAGCAGAGCTTCGTTTGCTGCTTCTTCCCAAGACCACCACGGCCTCTCCTGCCTTTCTAAGAGTTCCGCTTGGAAGTGCCTAGCCATGGCTGCCCTGTTTTGCACAGGGGGAACCTAAAGCCTAGCGGGGTAGCAAAAGCAACCCAGGCCCCCAGATTAAAGACGTGATGCTGGCTCCATTCAGAGGTTCCCTCCAGGCCGGAAGGACCCTGCCTCCCCTCCCTCCTCTCCCCGGAGCATCAGCGGCGCCACCCGCTAACGGGAAAGCAGCGGCGCAGCACAAACTTGACTCATTCCTAACGTTTACAGAGGGTCACTTATTAGCCGGGACGTCCCGAGAGGCGCTGGGGGCGTAATAGGTTCCAGCTGTGGCCGGGTGCCTGCGATGGGTCGACGCCCAGCCAGAGCAGGAGGGGTGCGGAGGGGGAGCGGGAGGGGCGCGTCCCTGGCAGCCCGCCCTCTCCTCCCGCCTCCAGTCCCCAGCGCGCGGGAGGATTGCAAGCGAGGGCCGCCCCGCCTCCACGCAAATAACGCGGGGGAGGGGCGCGGGGCTCAGCTACATCGTGCAAGGAGGTCTGTGCTGACCCGGGCTTGGATCCCTTGAGATCTCATCTGGGACTGCCTCCTTCCCCATCCCCAACTCTGGCCCGTGGTGAGGAGTGGGGCTAGGGAAGTTTCCAGGATCCGCCCCACAGACTCTGTCCATGTTGCCACCAGTGGCCCCCGAGCCTGGGTGGGTCACCATCTCCAGGACCAGAATCTTTCCTAACCAGCCTGGTTCTTCTGGGGGAAGGCTCTAGCGGGGCAGTGGGGGTCCTGGATAGCCTCTTGCGGGGAGCCTCGGACTGTGGGAAGGACACCAAGGCTTGGCAAAAGGGACTTCCAAGGTCACTTTTCTAAAAGACCCCAGACTCAGATGAGCTGGGCCATGTTTGTTCCTTCCTATTGCTCAGTGTGCTCCTCAGCCCAACCTATGCCAAAGACCCCAGGGAGGCCACTGCCCCTGTCAGTAGCCTATGCGTCTAGATCTAGCCCTAGATGGGTCTATTTGAGACTCAGTGGGGACAAACATCATTGCCTCCCATTGTTCTGTGGTTGTGTGGAGGGAGTCCCATCTAGGGGACTGGCCTCTTTACCTCACTCTCTGGGTCAGAGCAGGACTCCCTTCTAAGAGAACTGAGGAAGGGTCCCCACTGTGCCGTAAGTGTAAGGTGCGCGTGGATATATCATACCGTGTCTGTGAAGTTATGGAGTACGAAACGCAGGGTGGTATTACAGGCCATCCTGGGTTCCAGAGCCCCAGGGGCTGTTGTTGAGTGAAGGGTGGGGTTCAGGTCTGGAAAGGAGGGAGAGTGAGCAGGAAGAAGACCTGGCACCAGCTGCCTAATAGGTTTTCTGTACCCCGATAATAGGTCGAACACTGCCCACCACCCCCTGGCCCCATGGGAATGGGAACTGCTCAGATCTTCCTTGGTAACTGGCCTCTCTATCCTGTGGCCTAGGAACCTCACACTGCATCTTTGCCCTTGCCTGGAGACTAGAATGGGGAGTTCTGGGGCTGGGGGGTTGTATCTTCCCCCATTCTGGATCTTGACTCAAACATGTTGTGATTGAGGTCAGGGGCAGGGCTCTAGCCCTTGGTATGGGGCCATATCCAGGAAAAGAGGCTATCACAAGGATGGGCTTCAGCTTGGGGCCTGTCCTATCCTCCAACCCTGCCCCACAGGCATGACCCTTGTATGTGTGTCCTTCCAGATTTGGGGTGGTAATCACCCTGAAGGGGAGTCCAGGCAACACCCGAGCACAACCCACCGGTAGGGAAGGGCGGGGGCCCCCAGAGCCCAGACTCTGAGGGGCATGGCCTTTCTCAGCTCTCAGATACTCTGCCTGGGCTGCTGTCTAGGTTGGGCAGGAGGAAGAGTCAAGTGTGTCCACTGCAGGGGGCTTCTTGAGGAGGGGTTGGGTGGCCGAATAGAGCATGCT